ATCTAGTTTTCGTATCCACGATCAAATTTCTTTCCTGTTACAAGACTACTGAAAAAATGGAATAAATATATCACTGATCTCAACATAATACATCAATAATCTTCAAGCCAAGGGTGCTGTTCACAACAAAGTTATATAGGAGAATTGACTTCAAGCTTTATTTTTCCCAGATATCTGTATTACATTCATCTGATGTCTGGGTTTTTTGTTAATGCGAAGACAATATTTCTATATCTCTTTATGTGCTACACAAACAAACTTTATAGCAGACTGTTCCGACTGACTTTGATGTCAGAAAGAACAACCAAACTGTAAATCCATTATACATCAAATTTTGTGTAATTTATATAATAACTTATCCATGCCTGTTCAATTGGTATGTTCCTGCATAAACAGGAAGAAATATATATTATTGAACGATCAATTCATGGTTGTCTGCTCAAACCCAACTTCCCCAATTTTCACGGAGGCATCAATCAGCCAGTCATCGTCTCATCGGTCTCTGTTCAGAAAGAAGTCAGGAGAAAACCGTCAGAAGTAATATTGTGATTTATTATTGTAATATTTGTTCATAGACCTTAGTCGTACATTGACTATATGTTGTGTTAGAATAAAGAATCCTTGAGTCACCAATCTGTGTTCTCGTTTTTGCGTCCGTTCGTACTAAGCGTTTCTGAGAAGCTTCGAGGAACAGCGTGAGTCCCAGCGTAGAAAGAGCTGGGCATCAACGGTTTACGAGACATGGCTGACAGTTTCTGACGACTTCGAGTCAGCTTCTGACGGATTCGGACAGTTGGTGAAAGTTTGGATAGTCACCGTTCATCTTTCCTGGTGCCGATCAATTCTTCTTTGAACAAGCAGTATCTGGAACGTTTTTGGAAGTGGGTCAATTTCAGCAATGCCTGGGTCAAAGAAGGGACAGAGCGTCTTGGATGCAAATAGGAAAGTAAGTCATGGTGACTTGTCTGTTAATTGTAACGATGTGTCAGATGTTAAGCATGATATGGTTGATGTTACTGTTTCGCCGTTTAGGGATAATAGGAACATCAAACTCCCTAAATTTCAACCACGGTGTTTCGATGGAAACCCAGCTGATTATTTATAATTTGTAAAGGAGTTTGAGATCATGTTGAGTGGTTTTTTATTAAGTGATGAGTTGAAATTGATGTATTTGATTAGGTATTGTACTGGAGTTGCTTCAAGAGCTATACAGTGCTGTAAGTTCATGCCCCCTAATGAGGGATACTCTGAGGCCAGGAATATACTACGTCAAAGGTTTGGAAGAACTTCGATGATTGAAAGGAAATTATCCGAGGCTGTTAAGGGTAATGGTGATCAATTACAAGACGACTCCCAGGCATTCACCGAGTTTTTGGATAATTTGCTGATTTACAAGAGGTTCGATTATTTGGCACTGACACTAATCTTGTTTTGTGCATCCAAGGTGCTCTTAGCTACTTTTCGCTTGCTGAGGATTTGTCCGAGGCTATTTCAAAATCATTAATTAATGCGTCTAAAGCTTATGTATTTTACTCCCAACAATGACATTGCTGTCAAATGAGATAAACATATCACTGATTTCAAAATAACACATCAATGAACTATAATTTAAGAATTCTGGACACAACAAAATAATGTATGAAAATTGACTTCAAGCTTTATTTTTTTCCCAGGAACTTATAACCCTTCCACCAAAGACCTAGTTTATTTTTTGTTAATGCGAAGACAATACTTCTGTATTTCCTGATGTGTTGCACTCACTGACAATCTAGCGGATTTTTCCAACTATGCACAGAAATGATTGTACATAAGTGAAAAGGATGTTTTATACTATTGGGATTAACATTTATCAAGTGTATGTATAATCTCCAGTGTACATGTAAAACATATTTTGCTATCGTTTGTAAATTGTGACTAAATAATATGGTCCTATTTCTGTAACAATTTGATGATGCCTGTAAACTGGCGTCCCTCATGTACTGTATCATGAGAATAAATTTATTTATATATTAGATTTCCTAAATTGTTCCGATATTATATAACTGTCATAACATAACTGTCATCCATACCTTGGTCTCTCCCAAAGTGTCGGAAACATTGCCCTCCTAGGATGAACTGAGAGATCCAGAAATTACTCAGACGTAAACATAGATGCTGAAACCTGCCAACCACACATGAGTCTCCTGAGACGTGAAAATCATAAAACACTAGTAGGAACAAAGCTATTGCAGAAATCTGCCAATCAAGGATGGATTTTGACACACATCTGACTCAAATTCAAGGGAAAAACCTAAGAAAATTTTCTCGTACGTGAACTTCAGGAATAAAACACCCAGTGGTGTCCCAAACCTGACTATTGATAATGACACAATCGAAGAAGATCAAAAAAAGCAGAAGCGATGGCAGACTACTTCTCCCAAATCTTTATACGGGATTCGTCACTACCCTTAGTATCTGCCCTAGCCTCATCGGAGAAACACAGTATAAATTCTGTTGAGGTTGATCAAGGAATAATGCTCAAATGCCTGAAGAAACTAGATGCAGGAAAATCTATGGGCCCTGATTATCTTCACTTAAGGCCCCTAAAGTATCTGTCAACTCACATAACTGGCTCATAGACCTCGATTTTCAAGCTCTCTCTCCAAATGGGGTGTTACCGCGCGACTGGAAAGACGCCATAGTAATACGCATCCACGAAGGAGGATCAAGACAAAGCCCTTTAAATTACAGACCTGTTAGTCTCACCAGCACTTCAATCAAGACACTGAGAAGAAACATCGAGAAAAGTATCGTGGCACATCGGCAGAACAACAAAATGTTATCCAGAGCATAGCACGGCTTCCAAAGAAACCTCTCATGCCAGTCAAATCTTCTCAAAGGAAGAGAAAGCTGGGTCAAATCAAGGGACAATAAAAGACCTGTTGAATTCGTCTTCATAGAGTTCTGAAAAGCCTTCGGTAAAGTTCCACACAAAAGACTACTCATGAGGTTGGAAAGTCTCAGTTTAAGGAATTCCCCATATATAAGAGGCAGAGGGTTAGAATCAACTTGAAACTCTCCTCTTGGACGGCTGTGGGTAGGCGAGTGCCACAAGGCACGGTACTAGGGCCACTCCTAATAATTCTGTATATCAGTGGATTATCGCTGTTCGCGGATTCCATTATGGTCCTATACTCAGGTGACTTAAAAATCCGGAGAGAGCTGAGGGGCGACAGTCATGCGCTCAGGTTGCAAGAGGACTTCAGCAAGTAGTTAGAGTGATCCAGGGAGTGGATGCTCCTGATCAATACGGCGAAATGTGCAACCATAGGCATCGGACACAAGCATCAACCCCTATGAACTAAAGGGAATAAAACTCCCATCAGTTCACACTCTTTTGGATCTAGGCGTCATAGCAAGTCACGACTCAAAAACTACAGCACACTGTCGCGTGGTGGCTGGACATATTTTCAGATCCTTATGGGCAACTTGCAGAGCCTTCACTAGAGTCACCAGAGATATGTTCACCTCCTTATATCCATCTCTGGAAAACTGTATCCAGGCAGCCAGCCCTCGTCTTAAAGAGGACTCATATTCTAGAAATTGTTCAAAAGAAATCAACACGTATGATAACTGGTATGTCTAGTTTTACATACGAAAAAGACTAGAAAGGTTAAAATTCGTCTCCTTATCATACAGTAAGCAGAGAGGAGATTTAGTTACAATGTTTAAAACTTTAAATAATGACTACGGACCTGACATATTCTCTCTTTTCCTTCCCACCACGTCGGAACACCTTAGAGGACATAGCAGTGGATTTCAAAAGTCAAGGAGAAACCATATTCTTGCGGAGTACTGGTTCTCACACCGAGTTGTAAAATTCTGGAACCTACACCCAGAAAAAGTGATGCCTGCAGCCCCAAATGATTCATTCAATTAAGGTTTTGATAAGCAGATAAATTTAGTAGAAAAGGATTAACATGGGCTCCAGGCCTTCTATCCTCAATCAATAAAATCTGAATCTATGCGTGAGCTTCAGGTACTCAGGCTATCCAAGAGCAGTGTATGCTGCTATCCATTACCACCATGGGTTGGGTCACGCGGTGTTCCGTCCGGGATATAACGATCCAGATACACGTGAGTTGTTTCAGTAATGAGTAACTCCAAACTATAGTGGCCCAAAACAAAAATACCTAATAAGCAGGCGTCGTTGTCTCTATCAGCCAGTCAGACGAAACCTTAGCCAATGTGCGCAATTTAGAAAAATCCTTTACTGAGAACGAGGGAGGGGGAAAGAGCTGTAAGGGGTAACTAACCGTATATCATGTTGTTTTGCGACATATTCACTGCTCTGTAGCACTCACGAACCTAAAAGAGGAACGATATAGTCCTCAGACAGGTTTTCTGTGACGACAGCCAGAATATCTATACTCTTATCCATGTACAGCGGACTTCTGAATAGACATTATTCTTCCACATCTACAAGCTTCCTATGTGCCTATTATCTCGACAGCACTTAAATACTTGATGGAATTTGAGACGTAGTTCGTGTACTGCACTTATGTATTCTCCTATTTAGTACGAACTCACCTGGTTCGCTGGCCAAGGTCATAGTATCAATTTATTAGGTAGTTTCATTCGGAATCGCTGCTGTTTAGAGAAACCCGATCGAAAATTGAATATCTGCAGAGTTTTGTATTGGAAGAATTAACATGGACCGCAAGAGCTAACTGTCTCACCATCTGAATCTGAACTAAAACCCTAAAACCGAAATTGAAACATGCATTTCTAGGCCGAGGTTGGGTGCGCTTGGTTTAAGTCTGGCGGCATGATCAGGGCATTTAGACTATCAGGTGTTATCACCAACTCCAATCCGTTGTATATAAAAGACGAGAGGTGCATTGTGTACTCCCATGACAAATGTGTTGTTGTCTTCAACCTAAACACAGGGAAAACCCTATTGCTAAACGGACACAGGGACTCAGTTATTGGACTTGTCCCAGATATTCACAGATCTCACTATGTATGCTTCCTGTTTTGAGCTAACTATTTCAGGTAATTTCGAGTGGCTTGGATGGTAAAGTAATAGTCTGGGACATTAAAACTTGTGAGAAGATTCAGGTGGGTTAACGACTGTAATTATTAATGTGCTAAAGAATATAGAAACGCGATTTCCTATCGACTTTTGTTTTCCAACAGAAAATGGATACACTTTAAGCCATTCTTTGAAGGATAAACGTAATTTCCTGCCATCGTAATTATTACGCTTAGATTCCATTAAATCGTATAATTGTACGACTGGGGATTTCGTAGAAATTGTAAATTTTCCCAAAGGATCCAAATTAACATATAAAGTAATAATATTTATTTTGCTAATATGCACTTAGAATCCTGATTTTGTAGCTTGTGTACATGAGTCCGAACTTATTGTGTATTGGGTGGACTTCAATGTTTCTGTAAGGTAATTATTACAACTAGGTTGGATTATTTTCATAAGCTGATATGCACTATGAATGCTGAGATGTTTTTGCTCTTTAAATCTGTTATTTAAGTACTCAGAAATAAGTCACCAGCGACAGTCGATCTCAATTGAGAAAGAGAGATTGTTAAGAGTTGATGCTTCTCAGTTGCCACATCGCGGAAATTGCATTCCTAATGGAATAAACCCTGTGATGACAACTGTTTATAATCTCATTTCTATCCATATGTCTTTCCTAGCATTGTTGAGCCTATTAAAAATTTATTCCCAATCACCATTACTAGAGTCATTGTGAAATGCAAACCTGACCACCACGTCAGATTATTAGCAATTTCACTTGAATACAGTTCACTCATATCGTAGCATTTACAACTGAGATTTTTCTTCGGTTATAATTTCCCGCATAAAAGATACCTGAGATATCTTGCTTAATTCAACGCCTACGCATTTCGTAATCCTAAGGTCTTATATTCACAATACTCTGGAAGTATGTCTTTTTTATTGATTTCCTTTATTTCACTGAGATGACCGAAGGCGAGTTCCTGTTATGACCCATTTATAGCTGTTATCCTTTTTTTCAGTCTTCCTAAAAAGACCTCTATTCAGTTAATATGTATTCCACTAAGTGCATCGACATTTATTTTCTAGGAAAATGCGGATAATAAAGATAAATAATACCAGTTCCAAACCTAGCCCTAGTCGTAACCCTAATTGTAACCCTGATCCTAACTTTATTCCTAACCCTAATCATAACTCTGATTCTAATCCTTTTCTTGATCCTAATCCCATTCATAACCGTAACCTTAGTGAGCTATCTATAAATTGTACTAAGAAACGTGATCAGGTAGAAATTTGCACCTCGATTCGTGCACAGCGTTGATAGTGACACTAAGTAGTAGTAGTAGGTCTCCTTATCCAACGATAGTATGCCTTCAAATTCATTGGAGTGTTCGAGCTCTTGGGCTGTTAAACTCTAACTCGGCCCCTTTCTTATTGTCTATTCAAGTGAAAATACTTTTAAGATATTTATCACGTCCAGTACTTTATGAAGAAAAAGCATTCTTAGTCATCGTCTGCCATATCCATAGTAGTAGTCTGTCAGTGATAAGTTATCTCATCATGTTTTCACCACTACTTATTTAGTTCTCAGTTAATATAACAGACCAAGATTTCATTGAGAACATGGTTAACTGGAAATTTCTGTCGCTGTAATGTTTAATGCAACCCTTAACCATTGTGTGTATTGAGCAATAAATTTTGATTAAAAACGGTCAAGCTTCACTTTCATAGATAAGCCTTGTAAACATGCAATTTAATTGTATAAACATGTTTTTATCTTTCGTGCTCAATAAGAATTTCTGTTAATTTTCGTTGTTTTAGCCTAGTTAACTTTCATTGTTGTGACTGGTTTTACTTGACCTGTTATCTCTAAAGCACTAGAATGGTATTCCAGCTTTACACACACCTGGCGTAGACGTGATATCCGACTATCAACCAAAGGGCGGGTTTACTGCTCAGCAATCTGCTCTGTCCTCCTCTATGGCTGTGATACCTGGCCATTGAGAGTGCCTGCGTTCTATCTCCCGTGTGAAGTGGTGTAGTAGGGTAAGCAATACTGGAGTTAGGCATCGAATGCTAGGTAAGGAGGGGAAGTCAATCGACGAGGTTGGGAAGTTACGTCGATGGAGATGGTTAGGACATGTGTTACGTAGGCCTAGTTATCGCCTCCCTCGACCGATGGGCAATGTTAGCTGATATAGGGTCAGGCTGGGAGAAAGCTAGCGGAGGTCAAACCAAACCATGGCACCAGTCAATGAAATCCACAACAGTTAGTTTAAGCCACGTAGGGAGGTGTAGACTTCCTGACTGGTTGGGGTCCTCGGGACGGTAAATGGCTGGAGACAATTATCAGTGATATGGCTCAAAATCATTGTTCTCAATGGCTGGTGGAGATGCATCCACTCTTCGTGACTTATGATTTCATATGAAACTATATTGTTCTTCGTTATTGCTATTCCTCTGTCTTACACCTCTGTTTACTGTATCTATTATGCATTTCTTCTACTTTCTTCTCTTGCTGTGTGTGCTATATGGAGTGTGGCAACTTGAACTGCCGCACATAAGTGCTAAGTTCTATGTCGAAAACAGACAGATATAGTTGTAAAACATGTTTATAGTTACGCAATCTATTATGGTAACATAATATTTGTGGTTATTTATGTTTTCTATCCACACTTTTCAATAACGCACCTTAAGTTATTCTATAAATAGTCACTTTTTTCAACAGAATTTCATTCTAACTATTCCCATCATTCTAGACGAACAGTGATGAACTATTGACCCGGACTCACTAAGATGACTAACTGACTGGTTTCAACATAGAACTTTGCACAGATATGCAGCAGTTCGAATTGCCACACTCCCGCCATGTAGCACAAAAAGCAAGAGCAGAGAGTCAAGAGAGAGATGACAAACAGAAGTATGAGGGAAAACGAATGGTAATATGGAAGGACAATAGAGTTTTATTGTATATGACAAATCACAAAGTGTGTGAGTGAATGCATCTAGGCCAGCCATTGAGAACGATTTTGAGCCGTATCACCAATTGTCTTCAGTCTTCATTGGTTCTCATCATCCCAAGGACTCCAACCAGCCAGTCAGGAAGTCTACACCTCCCTACTTGACTGTCTGGTTTTAACTGTTATAGATTTCATTGACTGATGAAGCCACGATTTCGTTTGACCACCATATGCTAGCTGATCGATCCTGTATCAGTTAACATTGCCTGTTGTCGAGGAAGGCAATAACTAGGGAAGCATGCGTAACAGGTGTTCTAACCATCTCTCTCAACCGATATAACTTCACAGCCTTGTTGATTGATTTCCGCTCCCACTTACCTAGCACTTGACGGATGCTTAACCTCAATATAGCTCACATTACAATAATAATAATAATAATTTGCTTTATTCCAAAACAGTACTTGTGATACAGAATGGAATTCTCAACATTTCACTACAGTATTGCGCATCCAGTTTGTACACTAGCAATAAATTAAATTCTACATAGATTATGGGTAACCTCAGTTAGTTTTGACAACAATATATTAACATATCGGTAGCACAGCTAAAAGTGAGCCGAATGTTTGAAGGTGTTAGAAAAAGTAGATGCTAGCATATTTACTGGCGTAAGCGGTAACAAAAAGATCGAGATATACAGAGTGTGAAAGAACGAAGAAGAATGTTTTAAATAGAGTTTGTAAGGAAGAGAGAGAAACAAAACAGCACATAATAGAAAAAAAGAGAAAATGAAAAGAAGGTAATAAAACGTTGTACCTATAAAAGATATGAGTTGGAAAGACGAGATCCAATTGTTCTACTGGCTATTTAATAAGTTATCAGTTTCACACCTAATGCTTTCTTTATTGCACAGAACACGAGCTAAGTAGGATATGGTTGAGTTTTTGTACTTTCTAGTGCGAGCATATAGTTTTCTATATAGGCTTCTGGTCTGCCTGTCTGATGAGATACAAGGGGAGAGTTGTGAATGAAGAGGGTGGTGGTGTGAGTTAGATAGATAAAATGGTTTTAGCCCATTTAAAAAAATTTAATTTCGGACTTGGTCTCTATTTCAGTGCCATCTATGTTGCACACCTCATGAGTGCTAATCAGTTTGTTTAGGTCAGATTTATGCATGAAGGTGAAATTGACTGATTGACATTTAGAGGGATGTAAGGTTAGACCGTTTTCCTTGACCACTACCTGATTTCTGATAAAAAGCCATTTAGTTTGGAGCAGTCACTTTGACACTTGACAGGCAAAGATACAGTCAAATCGTCAGCATATTTAACAAAATTAATGTCATTTGAAGATGGTAAGTCATGTAGAAAGAAAGAAAGAAAAGAGAAGTGGGGAGAGTACAGCACCTTGGGGGACACCAGCTTTAGTGGGCACACCAGAGAAGGATTTATCTTTGTATACGGTATACTGCATTCTGTTAGAGAAGTAGGAATGCAACCAGTTTGTGACCCAGGACTCAGTTTTTGTCATTAAGAGCTTATTTAGCAAGAAACATCTAGGTAGAGAGTCAAAAGCAGAAGTGAAGTCGAGAAACGTGCAGCGTATGTATTTGGCACCTTTACCTAATGATGAGACGATACTGTTGTGTAAGACGGCTGCAGCGTCTAAAGTGCTCCTACCCTGTTTATATGCAAATTGTTTGGGGTCTTCAAAATTTTTAAGGGAGATTTCAAGTTTAAGAATTATTATTATTATTATTATTATTATAAGTATTATACCACTTAACACGGGATTTAATAAAGCTTTTAAATGTGACTGTAATTTCCAATATCTAAGTATCGACCACTTAGGTGGCAAATGTCTGCTTCATCACCCCGTTATATTATTATCACTAATAATTTGCCCTCCTAATTACAATTTAAATTGAATTTGTCTTTTTTCCCTATAAGGTACCCACTTCCAACTTCAAAGGCGCATTCAGAAAAAAAGAAATACACATGTATTGCAGCTCATCCAAACGATTGTATCCTTGCTACGGGAATGCTGTTGGCGAAATTTTTATCTGGTGGGATTTATGCTCTCAGATAGACAATCATTTAGAAATGTTAAATCCTATCTCTGACAATTGGATTGAAGATGGCAACCAGCCAGAAAATGATACTTTTAATGATGTGAAAACAATTGTCAAGGCGAAAATTAAGGCAGGCGGTCGTCCACTCAGTTATTATCCCGTGCATCCGTCTCGTGTTAAACGATCTCTACTTCATTGGCATAGTATGGAAGTGACAAGCCTTTGTTTCACTTCATGCGGTTAGTTACTAGTGTTATTTTGTTTTTATATGCATACAGATGCATAATATTTCTGTAATATTTTAGAATTCAATTGGTGGATGGTGACTAGCAGTGGAACCCAACAAGGATGCTGATTTCGTCCTATTTGGGACTTGTCATCATTGGATGTGCCTGCATTCCTCAGTGAGTGAATAATGATGTTCCCATCGAGGCTAGAACCCAGTGCTCATAGTTTCAAACACCAGCCAAAGAGGTATCCACTAGACCACCAATTGGGTCACACTTCCCAAACAGGACGAAATACGCATCCTGGTAGATCTGTCCGTCTGATTGTTTTCAACATGGAATTTTGCACCGATGTGCAGCAGTTCAATTCGCCACACTCCCTCCTTGTAGCACACAAAGTAAGAGAAGAAAGTAGAAGAAATGCATAATAGAGACAGTAGACTGTAATATGAGACAAAAGGAATAGTATTAACGAAGAACAATATAGTTTCACTGGGTATTATAAGTCACAAGGAATGGATACATAGGCGCCATTAAGAACCATTTTCAGTCATCACCGATAATTGTCTCCAGGCTACATTGGTTTTTACTGTCCCGAGGACCCCAACCAGCCGATCAGCTAGTCTTCACCTTCCTACGTGACTGGCTTAAACTAACTGTTGTGGATTTCATTGATTGGTGCCCTGTTTCGGTTTCACCGCCGCTAACTCTTCTCCAGCCTGACCCTATGTCAGCTAACATTGCTTGTCGAGGAAGGCGATGACTAAGCATGCGTAACACATGTCTTAACCATCTCAGTCGATGTAACTTCACAACCCCTCCTTACCTAGCACTCGACCGAAGCCTAATATCAATATTGCCTACCATACTATACCACTTCACACGGGAGATAGAACTCAGGCACCTATGATCAACGACAGTTAGCCGGCCTTTTCATGTCTTCCACTTTCAGTTGCCATTTCTCACAACCAAATTGGAGAACGTGGGTTCAGACTTCTGAGCAGTACCCTTTGGTCATCAGCCAGCCGGATTTCACGTCTACGCCAGAGATGGTGTAAACTGGCATATGCGAAACTAGCCTTCTATATCTGTGCTGAGATTTCGTCAGCAGTGGAATCTTGGTAGATTCCAGTGCTATTTACCATCCATCAATTGACTTCAATTTACAGATATGGACCAGACATCGTCGAAGCATATCTGCACAAAGAATCAACATGTCAAGCTGAGACCAAGCACTTTGGTCCAATCAGCCGACGGGAAAATATGGAATTAAATTAATTTAGAATGTCTGGTTTCCAGTCTTTGCTGCTACTTCGAGGTTTATTGTCACAGATGTCTTATGATAATTTATTTGCATTCTTAGGTATAATCAGGTTTTTATTACACTTCTTTCCTCCTGATAAAATTGAATCGACTAACAACGAAGGTGACGCGTAATATCAGTGTGTCACCTCCCTAACTTCAGTTTAGATTTACTTGCATATGGTATTTTGCACCGTCTCTGGCGTAGATGTGATATCCAACTGACTGTCGACCAAAGGGCGTGTGTACTGCTCAGCAGTCCGCTCTGCCCTCCTCTATGGCTGTGAGACATAACCATTGTGGGATGGCACTAGTGTAGATAATTGTTGATCATGCCAACGTGTAAGAAAATGGAACAAATTTTGTCATGATTACCAGATGGATTGATTTGGCATATTATATTCTTATTTCTGTAGTAGTGCATAGTTTAAGTGTGGATTGAGAAGGCTTCACTTCCAAACTAGGATGGCGTACTGTTCATATCCTTTACCCTTCGACAGGTTCTGAGATACAGACCTAACCAGCGAAAGTCAAAAATACAGCAATGTAAAGCTTCACCAGTTAAGCTGGCTAAGAGATACATTACGTGATATCACCCTTCTAGGAGCTCTATTCATCACTGAAAAAGAATCGAATTTGACTGTTAGTCTCAGCCATGTAGTGAAGTCTTCGGTATGCTTAGAATTAATCACATATTGAAGACTGCTAATTATATACCTCGAAATCCTTCGTAATAGCTCTGATTTGATAAACACTGCCAAGTAGCAGAAATAGTTCTCACAAAAGTGAAAGGGCGAGTGCAAATGTCTGGCTGTCTCTCTAGGAAAGCTAGAAAATCCTGATTTCAAACCTATTATGTTTATGAAGTCATCTACTCCAGAACCTAAATCTGTTGTGAATGGTGTGTAAACTCGTTTCGGCTACCGCTAAACGTGAGGACACAACCCGTGAATCTGCTCCACTACCTTCTCAATGGGACTTCAAGTCAATAGCTTGTGAGTGGGTGGATGATGGTCTGGCTCTTAATGTCAAACACTACCTGCTTCGTTCTGGTCATCTGGGCAGTAATCCAACCCTCGTACAAACCATGAGATGTTTAAAATGTGTCAGTTTTGTGTTTTAATCAATAACAATAATAATAAATAAATGATTTGATCATCCTGAATGTTATTCACATTAGAAATCGTCAGTAATCTTCCCCTTCCTCCCCGCGTACCGAGTTATTATTGCATTGATTAGAGACAGTCAGTTAGTCAGTTCGTGCGGCTTTTACTATTCCTTTACGTCCCCCGGTGGGCTATATGGCTTCAAAACTAGAGGCTTGAAGTTTCGGTAACAGTGATATTTATTTTTATGGGATAAGGTTGCTAGTTAGCCTAATGCCCGACCCAACCTTTCCTCTTTCCTAATCTTAGTGCTTACTGGCTTAACGAGGTAAATAAGTGCGTCCGTGGCTGGGTATCGAACTCCGGACCAAATGCGTAGTTGGCGAGCATTCTACAGCTGTGCAACCACCGACTCACAAGTTCGTGTGGTGATGACGTTCATTAAATCTTAAATGTGTGTATTGTATATATAGCTTAATACTTATAATTAATGAGTTTATTATCTAATGTAATATTTTGTACTTTAATTAAATAGGTGCACATCTTCTCTCTGGTGGTCTCGAAGGTGTACTGCTCAAATGGGATATGACTGAATGTTTTGGTGGTCCAAAAAAGTGTCGATTTTTACCTCATCTTGGTTCGCCTATTTCATCTATTTCAAGCTATGGTGGTTTCTGTGAAGATACAATTAGCGTCACGTTAGAGAATAACTGTAAGTTAAAGACATTTTAGAGAAATAAAAGGAATTACACTAGTCGTTATGATAGTTACAATAGAAATGTGATTCATTGACTTCAGCCTTTCGGCTTTCAGGCAGCGGCCCCCTCTCAAGTTTGAATCCCTCTCCACTTGTTTCACCCTTAAGCCAGCCACATAGTAAGTGTATCTGATATATGGGTGCACAGTTGAGCTCATTTTTAGTTATAACTATGCACTAGTTCTAATTTATTTTTCTTCAAAAATCCTTGTATAATTGAATAGAAATATCCATGAGGTGCTCACTAGCGACTGGCTGTATAAAGGCAGGCAGTTACCTAGGTTGAGTTCTAGGGGGAAGTCGTGACCGGTAGGGTACAACAGGTCGGGTGTGTGAGGACAAATACTCGCCAGCGATGACATCGGCTAGTACCAGTCGTATGTTGTGAATTGGCAGGAGTTGGAATTCATAGGCGCTGGTCATTGGATCGGGTCCCAGTGGCTTAATGGACTACGAGCTCGCTAGCCTTGTAACCAGAAGGTCCTGGTTTTGAACCCAGGTTTTGATTGCGTACTGATGAAGGGTTTCAAACTAGGCTGACGAAACAGCTGTACTGTACTCCCAGCTGGTTTTCCAATGGCTCTCTAACATATGTCAGCTCATGATGAAATCCTGTAACCAAATAAGAAGTGTATTACCTTCCAGGGTACAACTAAGTAGTGTTTTTATATGTATGTGACTTATAGTCAATCTCTGGCATATGCTGAACTGAGAGTGAAGAAGGAAAGAGGATTGAACATGTGACGCCTGCTTGTCAACAGAAGTTGTTATAAGAGGAAGGCGAAGAATAATAACTCAGGTGTAGCCTTTCGATGATCACGATGAAGGTGATGGTGATATTGCTGTAAGTGCAAATGAGGCTGATTAGTTTGTGTAGTTGCCTATATCTCCGGAGTAGGTATTTGAGTATGTGTGTGTGTGTGTTTCAGACAGAGAGATGGAGCGAGAGAGTGAGCAATAGGGATATTGTCAGTGCGTAGATTTAAGGTTGTAGACAGACAGGCAGGTAGATAGGTAGGTGAAGTAAGTGTGCAGTATGATATCATATAACTATGCGAATGCTGATCTGTGTGCGACATGATGTATGAAATATGAGTGAATGGTGTCGAGTATTTAATGGGTAAATTAGCAATGAATGACGCGACTGGTGCTCAGTAGCACTGCTACTTTTCGATGTTTGATGAATGGGCCAAATCTGTTCCAAATGAAACTGAGTTCTGACTGATTCTGTATTATTTATGATTGTAACGATGAGATGCCTCACATCACATTACTTCAATCTTTGTATGCATGCACTTTTTGCATTCTATGAAGCCTCTGGTGGGTGGGTGGGTGGGTAAATTTGATCGATTAGTCCCATTGGTGGTGGTGATGGTGGTTGGCTTTCAATTCACCGCCTGTCAGTAAAGGTTTAGTGCTTCACGCTTAATTTGGAACTGTTTATTAGTATCCTCATCCACAACCAACCGTATTGGAGATATAGAACCAATGGCCTTCAGGTTACAAGGTTAAACCCGCTGACCATTTCCATACTGGTTTTGGGATTCATTGAATTGTGGATTCTAATTACAGTTAGTTTGCGATATAATCCGACTACTAACCAATGCGATCGACAGGAAGTTTTGGTTACTGTGGTTTCCATTGTGTCATGGTGTAGTGGTTGGCGGTAGCGTTGTATCGCGAATTGACAGGTTGGAATTCACAGGTCAGTGAACTCCAACGTAGTGTCTGAGAATGGTCAGCAGGTTGGTAACGTGGTAGCGAGAGTCGACAATTGCTTCACTTACTTGGAGATTTGCATCAGCCAGCCCTAACGGGTTGATCGCTGACGAAATCTCAACACGGATACAGAAGGCAACAACTTACGCTATCTATGGCTTGGTAGGTGTGATAACCGACTAGCGTTCAGAGTAGAACTTAGGACTTTAAGCTTGAGCTCTAAAGTTCCAGCATTAGTGGTGCTATCGCTTTTTACAGGATAGGGTTTCTCAAACCCTAGCTTCCTTTTCCGGAATCGCTACCGGCTAAACGAGGTTGTTAGAGCAGTGCGTCGGTAGGGGGTCAGGCCTTGGACCACACGTTGTGCGGTTGGCGCGAGTTTTCTATCAGTGGACCACCGATGCATATATATATATATATATATATATATGCATATATATATTCCTCACATTTATTCCCCTATATGAATATGAATGAAGCAGGGACAACGGTTTGTGCAGAATAAAATGGTACCATCATGGTGCCAACCTGCAAGCCGTCCAGAAATACCAACAACAGCGCGCACACAACTGCAAGTTGACACCAATCCTCTAACGATAGCTGAAGTCTTGAACGCGATCAAACTTCTGAAAGCTGGAAAAACAGCCGGACCAGATGGAATACCCTGAAGCACTGAAAGCACACCCAGAGACGACAGCAGACATGCTGACTCCATTATTGCAAAAGGTCTGGAAGGAGGGAAAGGTGCCTACTGACTGGAGGAAAGGTTACCTCGTGAAACTACCAAAGAAGGGCGACTTAGGACTCTGCAAGAACTGGCGAGGAATCATGCTCCTATCGATGCCAAGTAAAATCCTGAGTCACATCATCCTGGAGAGAATAAACGTCGCACTGGATACAGAACTCCGACCAGAACAAGCTGGATTCAGGAAAGGCAATCATGTACTGACCAAATTGCAACTCTACGCATCATCATCGAACAAAGCATGGAATGGCGATCAAACCTCTACCTCAACTTTATAGACTTTGAGAAGGCCTTCAACAGCGTTCATCGTAAAGTAATTTGGAAATTACTCGAGTACTATGGCGTACCCCAAATATTCATCAACCTCATTCAACAGCTGTACGACAACGGTACATGTCAAGTGATCCACAACGGAAAACTCAGCAAGGCGTTTGGAGTAAACACAGGAGTCAGACAAGGGTGCTTATTATCACCAATGATATTCCTAATTGTGGTGGACTGGATTATGCGTCAGACAGTGGGAAACGAGAAGACAGGGATATCCTGGACCGACGTGAAGAACCTAGAAGACCTGGATTTCGCGCGTGGATGATTTATGTTTGATGTCACACACAATCGAAGACTTACAAGCGAAAACCGACAAACTGGTCGAAGAAGCAGCAAAGACAGGACTCCAGGTAAACATAGACAAGACGGAGGTTATGAAAATAACCAACCAACAACAACAACAGCACAACATCCAGCGCCAATCACCATCAACGGGAGGGATTTGAAAGAGGTTACTTCATTCACTTATCTAGGGAGCATTGTCTCAACTACAGGAGGAGCGGACGAGGATGTCAAATCGAGAATCGGGAAGGCGAGAAACACATTCATCAGCCTGAAATCAATCTGGAAATCTTCGTCACTCAGCATCACCAACAAAATTCGGATTTTCAATACAAACGTAAAGTCAGTTCTTCTATACGGATCAGAAACTTGGCGGGTCACAAAGAATATTTCCAAAAGGCTGCAGACCTTTATTAACAACTGTCTTCGCTCAATACTGAAGATCAGATGGCCGGAAAGAATCACCAACAAGGAATTATGGGAACAAACAAAGCAAGAACCAATCGCCCAACAAATATGCAGAAGAAAGTGGAGATGGATCGGACACTCGCTGAGGAGACCGCTGGGTGACATCGTGCGTCAAGCCCTCGAGTGGAACCCGAAAGGGAAGCGGCGTGTGGGACGTCAGTGCAAGGGTGACATGGAGGAGATCGTGTGAAGAGGAGTTGAAAGAATATGGATTAACATGGATGCAGGCGAAAAGTACAGCAGAAGACAGAAGAAAATGGAGACGTGCAGTTGAAGCCCTATGTTCCACTAGGAACCCAAGGGAGCGATAATAATAATAAATAATAATCATGGTGCCAAACTAGGCTGACGAGACAGCTGTCCGGTACTCCCTGGTGGTGGTTGTCAATAGCTCTCTCGTTTAAAAAATTCCTTTACGTTCCCAGTGGAAGGCAGTGGGCTTCAAGCTACAGGCATGAAGTTTCGGTATCAGTGCTATTCAATTTTTTACGGGATGGGGTTGCTAGCCAGCCTCATGCCCAGCTCAGTCTTTCTTCTTTACCAATCTTATTACTTACTGGCTTAGCGGGGTGAAGGAGTGTGTCGGGCGGGGATTGAACCCTGGACTGAATGTGTGGTTGGCGAGCGTTCTACCGCTGCGCCACCGACGTACACCAATAGTTCCGTGGTCAAACATGAAAAACAAAAATCAATTATATCTTTTCTAAATTTTTATCCCTTTGTTATTTTTTATTTTTGATTAGCATTCCACATATTGAATAGCGCCTTCACGTTGGTCTATCATAAACAAGGCTTTATGCAATTGCCTAGACGTTGGGTTCAAATGCCTGAATTTTTAATGCCTAAAAACTTATTCATTTTGGAGAATCACTTTATGCGTTCAACTGGTGCCGGCGTTGCTTTTGGAGCTCAGACAACTGTGTCGTCGATTCCCACTTTGGTTTTGGCGAATGGTGGCAGCGGCAAATTACAACTGATCGATATTAATGATGATCAGAGAAATGCTCAAAAAGTAGGTTTATTTGTTTCCTCTCCCCCCCATCCCCCCGATGTAAAATCAATATTTACTTATTAAAACATAAACCTGGTACACCGTTATGGGCAGCAAGAGATGCGCCACACGAAATCTCATAGTTTGTGAGTTCAAGGACTAGGATACTACCTCGACGCCTTATAGACACAACAGAGCAGGTGGTGGTCTCCTTAAGACGGTCATCCCACCCTATCGTTTGACTCGAAGTTTGACCCACAAAGCAGTGGAGCAGCGTCGGCACCTATGTTTCTATGATCTCCGTTTCGCAAGCTAATTTATCCTTATGATTCGTGGGGCCCAGCCCCCATACACGATAGGTTTAGAATCATCGTTCTTCAGGTTCCCTAGGTGTATGTCCAGTATATCCATCAGTCTGGCTGTAAGCTCAATATGTTCTTATTCTCTCTTTCACTTTTGTGAAGAACACCTCTGACCCCCGCCCCTCCCTCGTCTTATTTTGTGGTCGTGTAATGACTGCCCTCGTGAAATAGCATTTCCCATACACGAGATCCCATTAAACTAGTATCAGAGCAACTGTTCATCTATGCGCATATAATGCGTCATTTCCTTAGGTGATAGTTAATAGATTGCAACAAACTGGCTGAAGAAGCAACCAGGGAAGACAGGACTCCAGGTGAACATAGAGAAGACGGAGGTGATATAGATAACCAATCACCACCAACAGCACCATCAGCGGGAGCGATTTGATAGAGGTTACTTTGTTCACTTATCTGGTCAGGAAGCACGGTTTCACCAACAGACAGACATCACGGATGAAGGTGTCAAAGGTGACTGGAATCGGAAAGGCAAGATACGTACGCCTTCCAAATACAGGGGACTCGTTTTGCATTTGCCAGTTTACGCCGACTATGGCGTAGACGAGATGTTCGACTATCGACCAAAGGGCGGGTGTACTGCTCATCAGTCCGCTCCGTCCTCCTGTATGGTTGTGAGACCTGGCCACTGAGAGTGGAAGACATGAAAAGACTAGCTGTCTTTGATCATAGGTGCCTGCGCTCTATTTCCCGTGTAAAGTGGCATAATAAGGTGAGCAACATGGAGGTTAGGCGTAGAGTTCTAGGTAAACAGGGGAAATCAATCGACGAAGTCGTGAAGTTACAAAGACTGAGATGGTTAGGACATGTGTTACGTATGCCAAGCCATCGCCTCCCTCGACGAGCAATGTTAGCAGATATAGGGTCAGGCTGGAAAAAAGCTAGCGGCGGTCAAACAAAAACTTGGCATCAGTCAATGAAATCCACAACAGTTGGTCTAAGCCACGTAGGAAGGTGTAGACTTCCAGGCTGGGGTCCTCGGGACGGTAAAAATCTATGGTTGGAAACAATTGGTGACATGGCTCAAAATCGTTCTCAGTGGCGCAGATGCATCCACTCCCTGTGACTTATGATCTCCAATGAAACTGTTTTGTTTTTCTTTATAACTCCTTTGTCTCACACCTCTGCTCACTGTCTCTATCATGCTTTTCTTGTACTTTCTTCTCTTGCTTTGCGTGCTACACGGAATGTGGCGACTTGAACTTCCGCACATTTGTGCAAAGTTCTATGTCGAAAACAGACAGACAGAGAGACGTACGCCTTCATCAACCTGAAACCAGTTTGCAAATTTTCTCCACTTACTCAGCCAGAATAAATAACACGATTCGGATTGTGTTCAACACAAGTGTGAAGTCAGTCAGTCAGTTCTTGTATACGGGTCAGAAACTTGCACTGCGTGCGCTTCACATAACGCATTTCCAACAGGTCACTACAGACTTTTGTCAACAGCTGTGCACACTTTGCTGGCTGGCTCTATACTGAAGATCAAATGACCGACGGACCAGCCGGCCAGAAAGAATTAGCAAGAAGACAATCTGGCAGGTGACGAACCATCCAAGAACCTATTTCTCAACAAGTATGTGAAGGAGGCCGTCGGATGACATTGCGCCCAATGCAGGCCATTGCTTTAGTGGAATTTGAATGGGAAGCGGCCAGTGGGTTGTCAGTACGACGGTTGCACGGAGGAGATTGTGTGGCGAGGAGGAGATGAGAGGTCATGTCAAGTCGTGTGCCCAGCAAAAAGAGGATAGCAGAGAATAGGACAAATATGAGATGTGTTGTCGAGGAACTATGTCCCACTCGGAACCCAGTGGAATAATACTAATAATAATAATCAACTTATACGGATTTACACAAAATATAAGTCGTCAGTTAAGGGTAATGGGAAAATTTATTACTCGGTCAGTGATTTGAGGCCGCACCTCTATTCCCTATCATAAAAATGCTTTGAACTTACGATTTCTAAAAAGCCTTGCATCTACAAGATAAACCAAGAGGTTGACAACTTTTATGTGCTTCATGTTCTTTGGTTGTTGTTAGTGGATAGGGTAGGGGAATACAGGAGAGATTTCACAGATATATTGACCTTAATCACTATATCAATAACGGTAAAAGGACTAATTGTTGATACTGGCTATCGACTGGGCGCTATACATCTCAAGATAGCAGACGTTAGAATTTATGTATTGGCCATTGGATTCCATCTCAGTGGCTGAACGATCAGCGAGCTCACCTTGTAATCTGAAGAGTCCCAAATAAGGGACGAAGCAGCTATCCAGTACTCCCTGTTGCATATCAGTGTCTCCTTAATACCTGAAGTCAGTTCGTGGTCAAAATAGAAATCAATCAAATCCCTGTAAACCATTTGTCAGGCCAAAAGATTTTCATTTTTCAACCGATTTGTACAGCAGTTACAGGTTCCTTTTTCCTTTCCCTTATATTTTTGATTCATGTATATAATTTGCTGATTGTGTAATACACAAAGTTATCGATTAAACACTTTTCAATTACAGATAGATATAACCAATCAGAATCACGTGGTCAGACTGAACACCTCCAAACTACCAGTCATGTATTCTGAGGTTTTGCTCACTGCTCAGTTAGCTAGTGAAGCTGAATTCACCTGGCTTGTTACCTATGAATGTCTAAAGACGTCGTCTGACAAATCGGGTCTCGATAACCAGTCTCGTCTTACCTGGTGGCAGTGCCGGAAAGTCGATGATGATATTGAAAAAGATGGTATGAAGGATGATGCGAATGTTAAGGCACGAGAATTTGCAAAGTAAGTGATGAGATTATTGATTTTTAGTGAATGTACCTGTGTTTGTTTTTGTTTTGTGTAAATTTATTTTGCTACTTGTGTACATACTACTTTTATGTCTGTTTTCTTTCTGAGGGGGCACGGTTGAGGTTCTTGTAAACGTCAAGTGAAATAGCACATTCATTGTGACTATAGTAGAGAAGATTTGTAGCTCAGGTGGATGATTTGCAATTAATACTGTTCTTTGAGCTGGTTGGTTCAGTTGCGGAGCTTTCGTCGTCCTTCTGGACATCTTCAGCGCAATATTTAGCATCAAGTGAAATAATATAGACCAAATTTTTTTTTTGATTTACAGCTTGATTCCACACTGTATTTTTGGCACAAGTATGGAAATTTCAGCATGGATATCGGTAGCCCAAATTTTGCAGGCCGACCATATACCACCTAATAAAAGTAAATCCTGTGACTACAAAGTTTAAAATCCAAGTCAATAGAAAATGATCAATACATATGTAAAGATGGTTACTGGGAGACGCAATTATATCACTCGTGAAAAATTTAAATCATTTCACTTTATGCTAAATATTGCGCTGAAAATGTTGTCCAGAAGGACGACGAAAGCTCTGCAACTAGTCCAACCAGCTTAGAGAATACTATTAATTGCAAATTATTGTGACTATAATGATTTGCACAGTCATGGGAGAATTTAATAAATCTAGGCGATCATAAGGCGTGAATACATCTGCGCCATTGAGAACGCTTTTTGAATCATGCTGCCAACACTTACCAGCCATTAGTTCTTAGTGTCTTGACAATCCCAGTTAGACAGTGTACACACACTTGTCTACGTGACGTAAACTGGCAGAGACTTCTAAGAGTTCATGGATTAATGCCAACACATGAAGGGTTGGCTAGCTTGTTGTATTTGATTATAGGGATCTGCGTTCTATCTACATCCCATGTTAGGTGGTATAATAAAGTGAGCAACATTGAGGTTAGGCATCGGTCGAGTGCTAGGTAGGTGGGAGGGGGAGGAATCGATCGATGAGCTTGTGAAGTTATATCGATTAATATGGTTAGGACATGTGTTACGTATGTCTAGCCATCACCTTCCTCGACAACGGGCAATGCTATTTTCCGACACAGGATGGATCAGGTTGTTGGAAAAGAGCTAGTGGTTGATGGTCAAACCAAAGTATGGCTTAATCAGTCAATGAAATCCATAACAGTTAGTTTAAGTCAGCCAGCCAGTGACGTAGGGAGGTGTAGACTTCCTGACTGACTGGCTGGGGTCGTCGCGATGGTAAGAATCAATGGAGGCTGGAGACAGTTGATAATATAGGCCAAAATCATATTAATATATGTGTGTAAAAACTTGGGCACTGTGGTAGTAAATAATACCATACTATAGTTGGTTTATTAGATGTATCACACAGTGAAACAGTATTATTATCTACTGGATGACGTTTCGAACATAATATAGTACTGTTCATAATCATATCAGTTGTAATCACACAACTTTGAAACTTGAGTTTTATATTTTTCTTTGTTCTCTCCTATTTGTCGTCGTTGGGGTAGTAGAATTTTCGAGATATCTGGGGCAAATACATGTAATAAGAATGATTCAACACCTGTCCACGTGGACATCTGGAAAATTGGGTGCGTACTGCTGAAGAGTCTCAAACTAGGGCGAAAAAAATCATGATTGTGTAGATTAGAAAACAATTTCAATAATTTTACTTGAAATATCACCGAAACACATAAAACTTATTATTGTGTGTAGGTGTAAGCTATTGAGATACAACAAAATCATCAGAGTTGCTAAAAACGCAAGCCATAGTTTATATCACAAGTAGGTGAATTGTAAAAATGAAGTCAGCCTTGATTGTGCATTTGTCTTGTTTTATGCCTTTATCATTATATATATTATATCCATCTGTTGTAGATTCACACCAATCGACACTTATTCAATGGCTCATTTTGGTTGTCCTGCTGTAGGCATGGGTTTTGTACCAAATGAAAGGAAAGAGTTATATGTCTTGCTGGCAGATTATCGTCTTATGATATGGTATTTCAATGAAGAATCAAGTAAGATATTTAAAAAAAAAAGTTTTCAAAGCTCTTCCCATGTATACTTATATGTAAATATTGCGTTATTGTATTAAACGTTGTTTTGTTGAAGTACTTTTCTTGGTTGGTTGGTAATCCTTAAGTTTTGATGTCTCCTCTTGGATAGTTCAATTGCACAGTAGCTTTCATCGTCCTTTTGTAGTCTGTCTTCAGTGCTAACTTCAGGATGAAGTGATTTTTGTGAATTCTTCATGGATAGTAAGAAGGGATCAACAAATGATGAAATCAATAAAAGGATGCTCAAGGGAAGCTGAATACCAAGAAGGAGAAACAAATAAAACAATGGGCTGATCACTTCAAACGACTCTTCAATTGACCATCATCTGTAACTCGTCCGGAAATATCACTAACAGCACTCACAGATTTGCCTGTCAGTGGACACCAATCCTCCAACGAAAGCAGAAATCTTAAAAGCGATCAAGCTACTGAAGTCCAGTCGAGAAGGCAACAGGAACAGACGGAATCCCCCCCCCGCCCCATCCCGAAGCATTGAAAACGGATCCGGAGACTTCCCTAGATGGGATCACGCCATTATTACAAAAGGTTTGGAAGGAAAGAAAGGCGCCTAGCAATTGGACGGAAGGCTGTCTACCTTGTCAAGCTGCCAAAGAAGGACGACCTAGTAAGGCCTTTGCATTGACTGTCGTGGAATAATGCTCTTGTCCACTTGAAGTAAAGTACTTGGCCGCGTCGTCTTGGAGAGAATAAAAGATGCGTTGGATGCTGAACTCCTTCAGCCACACCGGAGAAAACTGGATTCAGGAAAGGTGAATCATGTGCTGATCAAGTTGCAACTCTACGCGTTGTCATGGAACAATGCATAGAATGACAGCCAAACCTCAACCTCAGCTTTACCAACTTTGAAAGGCCTTCGATACCGCAGCGTTGACGGAGAAGTAATTTGAAAACTACTTCAACGGTGTGCAGAGGCCAAGTTTTTATCAACCTCATTCAATAGCTGGCTATATGACAATGCCTACCATGTGTCAGGTGATCCACAACGGTAAACTCAGTGAGGCGTTTGAAGTGAAAACAGCAGTAAGACAAGCTGGTTGCCTATTATCACCAATGATATTCTGGATTGTGGTGAACTGGATTATGCGTCAGACTGTGCACAAGAAGTGAGAAGACAGGAATGTGCTGGACCATCGATGTGAAGACTCTAGAAGATTTGGAATTAGTAAGAAGAAGCTCTGGCTGGCAACAAATCAACAAGCAAGAGCCGATTGCTCAACAAATATGTGGGAGGAAATGGAGATGGATTGATCGAACATACACCGGCTGAGGAGACTGTCGAATGACACCGGGTTCAGTGCAGGCCATTGCTCGGGTGGAATCCAAATAAGAAGCGTCGAGTGGGTGGCATAGAGGAGATCGTTAGGAGAGGAAGAAATGAGAGACCATGATCAGTGTTGGACCTAGCTGAAGAGGACAGCGGGGATAGAAGAAAGTGGTGATGTGTTGTTGAAGCCCAATGTTGCACTCGGAACCCAAGGGATTTATAATAAATAATAATTCATGGACGGAAGAAGTGGGTCACTCCTTAGGAGAGGAATCTCTCCGCTGATTATTCGACCACGGTTTCGAATCGAATTCATTATTGTGGAGGAGATTGAATATTTCATCGATGGACAGCTGTCAAAGCTTACTTCACATTGAAGTTGGCGCTGAGGATTTGTTGTCTGGGAAGAAGATGGAAAGAATATTTTTTTAGTTATACTATCTAGGGCAGAGAACACAAAAGCACTAAAATTCCTCTCTACACCTTCATTCGTTTATGTTTAGATTGGAGCATAAGGTTTCAAGTTGTTGAAGTTTCAGTAGCGGTGATGTTGTTGTTTTATGAGATGGGGTTGCTACCCTGACGACCCCAACCTTTCCACTTATTCCAGGTTTACCTATGGTTGGTAAACTAGGCAGGCGAGGCTTAGAAGTGCGTCAGCTAGGATAACGTGCATCATTGAAGATAATCCGTACGATTTAACCACTGACGACCGACGTTAATAGTAACAAGCGCGTTTGGCCTTATTTGTAGATATGTTCATGCGCATGTCCTCCACCTGAAAGTACCTTCATCCCCAAGAGTTATATTGCTCCCAGGTGGACTTAAAATAGTCTTTCTTTGTCTTAGATAAGAAGCCATTATCTACAAGGTTACTGTGTCAGAAAATATTGAATTGTGAGAGGTTACCCTGACTAGTAAAGATATTACTACAAGTGACACAGTTTCCTGATTTTCATTCAGGAGGATTGGAGTGCTGTTTCGTTCTAGTTGCAGGACTGTTCAGCAGTGTGCTTCAATCATCCCGGTGTATTTGTGTGTATGCGTATGTGTGGCTCTTTCGTCTGAACACTTGACTGGATTCTAGACTCCAATCTCATCTTGGCAAATTTAACGTATGCTCCTTCTCATTCTTTTTATATTTTTTTTAAATGCTGACTGCCTAAATTTCGTCAGTCGGTTAGTTAAGAGTATTTATTTTGCTCATATCTCATAGTAGATTGTATGTATCTTTTTTTTTCTCTCTCTCTCTCCCCAGAGAAACATCCCCTTTATTCACCATGGATTCCGTCATCGTGTCATTTATTAACATGTGCTAATCCATTTGAGTCGACGATGCGACCTATCTCAACAATTATCACTTTTAATGTGAATGATAATCAGACAGTTGAACCGTTGAACTGCTTACTGATTTGTTCTGGTGCCAGTTTAACTCTTTTCAATTGGGAACAACTTGTTATGCAAAGTAAGTTTGGCATTATAAACTGTCTAGGCAGGTTGATTGATGAAGTTAAAGTATCATATATATAACCAGAGTTATGGCCTTCCAGAACCAATCAGAGATACAGAAAATGCTGCGATAGGCCATGCCAAATCAAATCGTGCATGCTTCTCTTTGGACTTGGCGAAGATGGTAGACACAGTAATCTACTTATCACCCAGGTACTTCTTCTGTAAATCTATACTGTTAGGTTAAAGTTTAGGATTTGAAGTTAAGGTTAGGATTAAGATTGAAATAAAGTGTAGGTTGAACAGTGTTAGAAATATCAATAAATCACAATGTTCCATGACTTGCAGTCAGCTGGATGAATTTATCTATGGCGCATGTTATGTAGATCATCTTTGTAGTGACTTGGAGACATTCTTACAACATGTAATCGATAGCTGTGTGGTGTAATATCATGTTTGCAATGATTTTAGTGCATTTTTCAACGATTATTCGGCTTTTTTTGCATTCGAATTCTGATTGGTTGTTGTTCAAAGTCACTGTGGTTTTGGCTATAATAGATCAACTTCATCTGTTGAGCTTTTTCCTCTCTTAAATTTAGAATTTGATTATTTAATTCAATTTGAACTCCTTCCCGTTGGTTGATCAGATCGAGGCTATCGGCCTTAAGTTAAAATGTCGGTGACTCCTTGTGTCAGATGCTTCGACGATCTCTGATTAGTTAACTTGAAATGGGTGGTGACTAACAGTGGTGGAATCCACCGGGAAGTGCATTTCGTCCTATTTGGGGACTAGTCGCCGGCTGAATGTACTTTTACTCCCCAATGAGTGATGGTGGTGTTTCCTGGTGGATTCCAGTATTGCTAGTCACCATGACATCAATTTACTTCAAGTTAAATGATCAGACATCGTTGAAGCATTAGGCACAAGAACTCGCCAACATGTCAACCTGAGGCCAAGCAATTCTGCCCAATCAATCATCAATAATAAAGCCCAAATTGAATTAAATAATTACTGGTACCCGTTCCCCAAGAGGTGGCTCTCGTGCCCGAAATGGTCCAGTGGATAATGCTTTAGCTTTTGAGACTATGGGGACTGGATTCAAGCCTCAGTGGGAATACCATCATTCATTGATTGTGGAATGTAGGTGCATCCTTTGGCTGATGAGTCCCGAATGGGACGAAATGCTCATGCTGAAGGATCCCACTGCTAGTCACCATACACTAATTTACTTCAGAATTTGGTCGTTTATAATCTTATCCGTTTTCACGTTAGTTTATATTGATTAAGAAGAAGTAACGAAAGAGAGGAAAGCAGTCAAAGTTCAAATGCAAAGTTGATGAACAGTGATTGAAATGGATGAACGACTGACTGACTGACTGACTCGAAGACTTTGAGGCATCCGATCAAATTTAGTACAGCCATTAGTGTAGAAATGGAGTTTAACTACCACTACTAATAATAATGACAATTTTTTTTCGTGATTAACCTCTCTAAGACTAAATTCTAACCCTAACTCGTATCTCTTAATTCTAGCTTTTGAACGTAAAAACTGAACGATAGTCATTTGGGATGGATAATGACCCTTCTATGAGATACTGGGAGTTCATTTTACAACATTACAAGGCGGAAAACCTGTTTTACTATTCCTACACTAATTCCAATGTTCCTCGCCCCGCCCCTCCCCACACACATATACATATTTTAAGTCAACAAGATTATTTCCTGGTGGTGACAAGTCAATCCCTGAGTCGCTGAAGTGAGTTAGGGTTAAATCCATTAGTACATCTATGATGAAATTGAATAGAAATGGGGATAGTGGGCATCCCTCACTGATGGACACCACTAGTCGTCACCACTTCAGATGACAACTCGCCGTAAGCTCTCACCTGGCTGACTGAATGAGTTCGAGTGGAGTGTCTTGATCAGTGCAATTTATTTTCTCAGCATTCATTTTACAGCCAAACATCGCCAGAGTACCTCTTGGTCGACAGAATCGAATTCCTCCTTTAGGTCAGGAAATATAACGATTGTTGGACGCCGGTAAGAATGCCTATGTTCTAGAATCTGTCGAAGGGTAAATATATGATGATCAATACACCCTCTTCCTGGTCTAAAGCCTGTCTGATTTTCTCGTGTTTGCTCTTAGCCTACGCATGATTATTGAGCCTAGAACTTCAGATGCTATATCAGTCAAGCTAATCCCCCTTTGATTATCACAGGAAGACTTGTCTCCTTTCCATTAAAGGGACACACATCAGTTCTATAGAAGGCATTTGGGGAAGGTTAAAAACAGGATTAAGGCCATTAAACTGATCTCAGACGGATATTATTTACAATCATTTAGATGAATGTATGTATAGACTGTGGTGTAACTTTCCATTTTATACTCCTTTGCTCAACTGGGAGATGTTTTTTTTTACCACATTTCATAGAAAGGTGCCCTTTGAAACATTTTTATGCAGTTTTTATCCATTTTTTTCATAAATATATTTTCTATACTTTGGTTTGTAAGGGTTAGCTATGTTTTTATGAGTTGATCATGGATTGATATAAGTTAGAGAAGCATTGAAAACTAGCCAGGGAGTACTGGACAGCTGCTGTTTCATCCTAGTTTGGTGATCGTCGGCTGTACGCACCCACTACCAGGGTTCGAACCTAGGACCTTCCAGTTACAAGGCAAGCTCGTATATTAATCAGCTGAGACCCAATTCAGTGGCTATTCCATGAATTGTAACTTCTACCAATTCGTGATTTAGCGCAACCCCAACCATTGTCGTAGGTGGGGGGATATCCATCCACACACGTGACATCTAATTGGACCTCATTGGTGACGACTTCTCACTAGAACTCACTTCAGGAAACTCCATCCTGTAGCAAGTCCCTAACGAGCATCAGATTAATTTTCTATAGTTTGGTTTGTAAGGGTTCTCTAATTGATATTAATCCGTGATGAACTCATAAAAAAATCATAAATATATGTTTTCTATCACCCAAAAAGGCCTTCGTCATATGATTGGTGCGTGCGTTCAAGGTCATTCGCTGATTGGTGGTAGTTAGTGGTGCTTAAAGTTTAACTTTGCCTATTAAGCCTAGTATTCATTCTCTTTATTCTGTGTTTTTATCCATCGCTTGTATGTTTATGCATTTAGAACTTCTGTTTATTTGTTCTCTCAGGTCATCCAAACCATACTGCCAATCTTCAATTGAAAAGTAATCTATTAGAATTGTGGCCAGATTGTAAAAAGAGTTTTATTGACAATTGTACTGTTGTTGTTACCGCTCCACCTCCATCGGATTGTCCTACTGATACTCGGTGCATCGTTGTTACAGTTCGTAGTCAAGGCAGTAGATCAGCAGAAGGCCGTAGACTACTGTATTCAACCCTCTGTCTCATCAAGTGTACACCTATGAGTTTAGAAGTTGCATCAATCATTCCTAATGTGCATGCAACATGCATGACTTCTCATCCGAATAAATCTTGCATAGCTATAGGTTTAGAAGATGGAACAGGTGAGTTGATTTTGTATGGTATATTTTTGTGATGTATTTTTTTACTGACGTAATCACTGCCATACGTTGCTTTATGATGATTACTCACGGCAATTTACGATATAATGTCAAGGGGTGTCTAACGCATAATTCGATTTGCTATCAAAGCAATGTGGTTCTAGGCACTGGACTTCGGCAAAGAGGGAAAATCAATCGACGAGGCTATAAAGTTACACAGATTGAGATGGCTAGGTCACGTGCTGCGCATGCCTAACCATCGCCTCCCCTGACGGGCATTACTAGCTGATATGGATGCAGGTTGGAAAAGAGTGAGTGGTGGCCAAACAAAAACATGTCATCAATCCATGAAATCCTTGACAGTTAAACTGAGTAAGGTAGGGAGATGCAGACTCCCGGGTTGGGGCCCTCGGTACTGACTCTAAGAATCAACGGCCGGATACAATAGGTGACATGGCTTAAAATCGCTGTCAATTATTATTATTGTATCCTTTAGTTCCTAGAGGAACATAGGGCTTCAGCTGCGCACCTCCATTGACTTCGGTTTTTTGACAACTTTTTCACCCTGCTCCAGGTCTGCCCACATGCTTTCATCTCCTCTTCACATGACCTCCTCCAAGTCACCCTTGGACGACCAACTCGCCGCCTCCCTTTCGGGTTCCACTCTAGGGCTTGTCTAGTGATGTCACTTGTTGGTTTCCTCAGCGTATGGCCAATCCATCTCCATTTCTTTCTGCCTATTTGTTTAACAATTGGTTCCTGATTGGTTCGCTCCCAGAGATCCCTGTTGCTGATCTTTTCTGGCCATCTGATCTTGAGTATTGAGCGAAGACAGCTGTTAATGAAGGTCTGAAGTTTGTTTGAGATGCTCTTTATGACTCGCCAAGTCTCTGATCCGTATAGTAGCACTGACTTCACATTGGAGTTGAAAATCCGGATCTTATTTTTGATGCTGAATGCTGTTGACCTCCACACAGATTTGAGAGTAATGAAAGCTTGTCTTGCTTTTCCGATTCTGGCTTTGATGTCCTCGTCAGTTCCGCCTGTAGTTGAGACGATGCTTCCCAGGTAGGTGAAGGAGGTTGTTTCTTTCAGGTTCTTCCCATTTATGCTTATTGTGGTCTGTTGTTGCTGTTGATGTTGGCAAGGAATCTTCATCATCTCTGTTTTATCTATGTTCACGTGAAGTCCTATCTTTGATGCTTCTTCTGCCAATTTGTTACTTTTCATTTGCATATCTTCCAGTTTATGGGAAATCAGACATATATCATCGGCGAAATCCAGATCCTCCAAGTCTTTTGTGTCAGTCCATTTTATGCCTGTTCCCTCGTTGGTTGACGTTGTCTGTCGCATTATCCAATCGATTGCAATCAGGAAGATCATTGGTGATAATAGACAGCCTTGCCTCACTCCCGTCCTCACTTCGAAGGCTGTCAATGGCGCAGATGTATTCAGTCTCTGTAATCTTTCATATTCCTTTCTACCATTACCCATTCTGTTTCACTCTTATACTTGTCAGACTCTATTGATTCTCTTCACTCATCTTCTTGTCTACCTCCGTGTGGTATTTGGAACGTGGTAACTCGAACTGGTGCACTTGGGTGCCAAGTTCTATGTTGAATCCAGACAGACAGAGGCACTGGACTTCAACCTATCTACTATTTAGTTAGTATCATGAAGTCGTACAAAGTAAGTGTCGCCCAGTGCCAACTGCATTGCATTATTATTAATACTCCTATTATTCCCCTCGGTTCTGAGTGGAACATGGAACATAAGCTTTCAACATCACATCTCCATTTCATCCTATTCCCTCTGAAATGGATTCTTAAGTGGTTCCGCGATTACCCATAAACTCTCAGTCTCCCTTCATACGATCTCCGCTGTATATCACCTGTCCGGCTAACGCCAAACTCCTCTCTATTCTCTTCGGAATACTTTTTGGACATTAGGTTCTTGCTTAGTTCGTCAGGAGGTCTACGTGTGCTTTTCGTACTGTGTTGGCGATTGTTACTTCCCGGTTGCCCACACCGTGGAAGTCGAATTATTTTTGTGGTACCTGAAACAGATACAGAGTTAGTGTTACGTTACTCCAGAGCCCCAGGGGACAACTGCTTGAGACCGTTGGGTCACACACAGCCTGCCTAAACTGGTCTATTGCATTTGTTCTGTAATAATAACCTACCGTCGGTTACGGACCACCGTACGGTAAGTCGGGATGTTCATATTTCAGGGTCGACCTTTTCTAACTCTCTCTCTACAAAACAGAGAGGCAACATATCTGGCATGCTGGTCATCTGAGGGAAACACCTTACTACTGTTACATCCCCAATCCCCAGCAGTACAAATTTTCCCACAGACCCCATGCTGACTGCCTGTGGTTAGAACCGTGCTTCCTGGCCTGATAAGTTAAGGAAGGAACCCTTGTTAAATCTCTATTGATGATGTTTGGTGTTGTTTGTTATTACTGTTAGTGGTAGTTGGTTATCTTCATTATCTCCGTCTTCTCTGTGTCACATTGATATAATCCTAGAAGCCACAATGGAATTATTCCCTATGTTCATCTGGAGTCCTGTTTTCTTTGCCAGCCGCTTCTTCCTATTTGTTGGCTTTCGCCTACAATTCTTCGACTTTGTATATCACTTGGTGCTGCATGCACATACATTACTCCTTAGCTATTTGCTGGGTTGAATCCCTGGGGAGACGTCACTTCCTACACTACGGTATATGTGGCTTGCTGACAAGGGCTGAAAAACATGAAACCTAGAAGCAACGATACTTGCATATCGCCTCTTGATCTGTCTGTCTGTCTGTTTTCGACATAGAACTTTGCACAAATGTGCGGAAGTTCAAGTCGCCACATTCCGTGTAGCACGCGAAGCAAGAGAAGAAAGTACAAGAAAAGCATAATAGAAACAGTGAGCAGAGGTGTGAGACAAAGGAGTAATAAAGAAAAACAAAACAGTTTCATTGGAGATCATAAGTCACAGGGAGTGGATGCATCTGCGCCACTGAGAACGATTTTGAGCCATGTCACCAATTGTTTCCAACCATAGATTTTTACCGTCCCGAGGACCCCAGCCTGGAAGTCTACACCTTCCTACGTGGCTTAGACCAACTGTTGTGGATTTCATTGACTGATGCCAAGTTTTTGTTTGACCGCCGCTAGCTTTTTTCCAGCCTGACCCTATATCCGCTAACATAGCTCGTCGAGGAAGGCGATGGCTAGGCATGCATACGTAACACATGTCCTAACCATCTCAGTCTTTGTAACTTCACGACTTCGTCGATTGATTTCCCCTCTTTACCTAGCACTCTACGCCTAACCTCAATGTTGCTCACCTTATTATGCTACTTTACACGGGAAATAGAGCGCAGGCACCTATGATCAAAGACAGCTAGTCTTTTCATGTCTTCCACTCTCAGTGGCCAGGTCTCACAGCCAGCCATAAAGGAGGACGGAGCGGACTGATGAGCAGTACACCCGCCCTTTGGTCGATAGTTGAAAATCTCGTCTACGCCAGAGTCGGCGTAAACTAACAAATGCGAAACGAGCCCCTTGTATTCGTGCTGAGATTTCGTCAGAGATCAGCCCGTTGGGGCTGATGGTACTTCCCAAATAAGTGAAGCGGTCAACGTGCTCTACCACTTCACTTCCTATTTTTAAACTAGGCGTCGATGTAGTCCAGTCCTGTAACATCATCTTGCATTTGGCGGGAGAGAATCGCATGCCAAAATTTCGTAGATTGCAGCTCAAGGTGTTTAGAAGACTCTGCTCTATTTTGTCAGCGTCCTCACCTAGAAGGACTATATCGTCTGCATATTCTAAGTCAACGAGATTATTCCCTGATGGTAGTAAGTCAATCCCTGAGTCGGTGAATTGACTTAGGGTTAAGTCCATTAGTACATCTATGATGAAGTTGAATAGAAATGGGTGTAATGGGCATCCTTGACGGACACCACTGGTCGTCACCAGTTCAGATGACAACTCGCCGTAAGCCCTCACCTGGCTGTATGAGTACGAATAGAGTGCCTTAATCAGTGCAATATATTTTCTTGGAATTCCCTTTACAGCCAAGCATCTCCAGAGAACTTCCCGATCGACAGAGTCGAATGCTGCCTTTAGGTCAAGAAATATAATGACTGTTGGACGCCGGTAGGAATGCCTATGTTCTAGAATCTGTCGGAGGGTGAAGATATGATCAATACACCCTCTTCCTGGTCTAAAGCCTGTCTGGCTCTCTCGTGTTTGTGCTTCCCGAGCACCACTCAGTCTACGCATGATTATTGAGCCTAAGACTTTAGATACTATATTAGTCAAGCTAATCCCTCTGTGATTATCACAGGAAGACTTGTCTCCCTTCTTGTATATGGGGATAATCAGTGACTTACACCAACCCGATGGGACTTCTTCTGATTCCCAGACGCTGCCTAGTACCTCAGTTAATCCGGACAGTAAGCTGTCTCCACCGTACTCTTGATCGATAGAATTCAGTCAGCACTAAGCATCCTAGTGACCATTCAGTATGTGGTAACACTGTGTACTTATGCGAACTAAATAGTCTTTGAAGACAATCAGTACAGTATGTGTACATAGTTGATTACAAATGTAGAATATCAGTGTTATAGTTTGGTCTGATTATGGTATGTTGGTGATTTCAGTATGTGATGCTGATATGTGCTGACATGATGTCCGCCTTGTTTTGCCAGTCTGAATAATCTTGCTACATGTCTATGGATCGTTCATTCCATTATAACTCACAATATATATCTTGTCTGTCCATTAACTAAATAAGCAATGTATGACCTTTTGTCACATGACATCACAGCCAATCAGAATTCTGTGATGGTAAGAAAAACTACTATCTGTCTTCAATCGGTTCATGTGTATCAGTTATTTCCTGCGTCGGTGGCAAAGCGGTTAGGACGCTCGCCAACCATGCACGTGGTCCGGGGTTCAATTCCCGGCCGACGCACTCCTTTACCTCACTAAGCCTAACCACCGCCTCCTCCGACGGGCATTGCTAGCTGATATAGGTGCAGGTTGGAAAAGAGTGAGTGGTGGCCAAACAAAAACACGGCATCAATCCATGAAGACCTTGACAGTTAAACTGAGTGTAAGGTAGGGAGATGCAGACTTCCGGGTTGGGGCCCCCGAGAGTCTAAGAATCAATGGCTGGAGACAATAGGTGACATGGCTCAAAATCGTTGTCAATGGCCAGCGGAGATGTATTCAGTCTCTGTAATCTTTCATATTCCTTTTCACCATTACCCATTCTCTTTCACTCTTATACTTGTCAAACTCTATTGATTCTCTTCACTCATCTTCTTGTCTACCTCTGTGTGCTATTTGGAACGTGGCAACTGGAATTGCTGCACTTCGGTGCCAAGTTCTATGTTGAATCCAGACAGACAGACTAAGCCAGAAATAATGCTGGTAAAGAGGAAAGGTTGGACATCAGGCTAGCAACCCCATCCCGTAAAAATAAACACCACTGCTACAGAAACTTCAAGCCACTATAGCTTGAAGCCCTATGTTCCACTGGGGAACGTGAAGGAAAAAAAAAGTTATTTCCTACATACTCTTGTATTGTACAGTTAATTCACACTTTCGTACTTTTCCCACTCACACTGTTGTGTGACAGTTGATTCCCTTTTGTTGGAAAATGCACGTATCAATTCGTGAACGTGGCGGGCTTCTGACTTACCTCTTCTTTTGTTTCAGGAAAAATTACCTACTAAGCAATACCAGTCGTTACGTTACCGTATGTTGTATTTTGTTAGCCATGTTCACACTCGGTCACATCATAAAAAATGCGCGAATATACTTACACATAACCACTTATCATTCATTGTTCACAAGTAAATTGTTTGTTATACAACTGGTTTTTGTTATATATATGTATATTTTCAAATTTTAGTCGCTGTATATAAACTCCAATTGGATTCAGATGTCAAATTACAGTTAACTCACAATCTACCCAGCCTGGCCGCTCAACCATTCTGTGATCGTAAGCATAAAGGTGGAGTGAAGAATAGGGAGAAGAACAAGAAGAAATCAAGTGGAACTCAGATCATCTCGCTGGATTTTATTCCGTCTAAAGGCCATAATGATGTCGATAATGATGATGCGAAGGATGGTCAACTTGACAAGGAAGGCATTCAACTAGTTGGTATTATGAGAACTACAGTCGGACGAGAAACTGGACGTCGTGATCTAGTGTATTATGGTATACGAAGAGGGCAGAAATGCTCAGTAAGTAAACTGTATTGTTACGTGCTCGATAATTGCAAAGCATAGAAAAATTCAGTGACCTAATTATAATTGACGCGATTAATTAGGACTGAAGTAAAATCGAACGAGAATCAAGTTAACGAGAATGGTAATAAGGGTGGTGGTGGGAATTTAAATAGTACCCCGGGCGAGTTTCATTATATGCTTTCTGCTCCTAAAAGACTTCTCTACCTGAATCTACAATTCAATGGAGACTCATTGGGAGAAATACTGAGAAACTGACTGTTATATTCATTGAAGAAAATTTTCGCAGGTGAACTTTGAATGACTTTATTTAGTTCAATTTTAGATTTTTCTGTCGATTGATTGTACCCGAAGTGCTCGGTCTCAGGTGTTGACATGTCTGTCGGGTTCTTGTGCAGATGCTGCGACGATGCCTGTGCATATAATTAGAAGTTAATTGGTCGATGGTGGTTAGCAGTGGAATTCAGGATGCTCATTTCGTCCTATTTGTGACTCGTCACTTGGGTGTAACTTGTTCGGAACATCTTCACTCACTACGGGATGCAGGCACATTCAGATGACGAGTTTCAAATATCAAGAAGTTTACATCTTGGATTCCACTGCTAGCCACCTTCGACCAATTAACTTCGAATAACTTTCTCCATAAAACCAATGATTCGCAGGAACACGTCGGCCTCATCAATGTGCATTAATTAATTTACCAGCTTCTGATGATCTTGGTATGTCCATCGTCCTCAGCGTATCTTCGAGCATTTACCTTTATGGAGGAGGGGAAAATTCCCCCCCCCCACCACCACCACAGCTTGATTTTGGAACATCTGCCCGAATCCAGATACTCCTAAACTAACCCACAAATCAACTTCGAAGCTATCTACAGAATAAGTGGCAGTCTTGCTTAAGGAGTACGAATCAACTTCTTCAGACCCTACAGAAGCAGTGGCAATTCACATGTGAAATCCTAAACTCTGCATATAGAAGAAGTTTGTTCAGTCACCTAATTTTCACCTGATACATCCTAACACCGAATGCGTTGTATTTTTTAAAAATTGCATTAGTTTATTTAATCACTCCGTGTTAAATTTCTAGCCGTTATTACCACTGTTGTTAACTCTCTTACTTGAATTCTACTCATTTCCACCTGTTATGTTATTATTATACCCTTGGGTTCCGAATGGTACATCGGGTCTCAACAACACGTCTCCACTTAGGTCTATTTTCTTACGCCCTCTTCAGATGGGTCCACGATTGACCATAATCTCTCATCTCCTCCATGTCACCCTTGATGTGACGATCCACTCGCCGCTTTCCATTCAGATTCCACTAAAATGATGACATCGCGTACGATGTCATTCGACGGCGCTCTCAAAATATGCCCAACCGACCCATTTCCATTTCCTCTTACATATTTGTTGAGCGATCGATCAACGATATCCTCCATGTCACCCCCTCACCGACGACCCACTCGTTGCATTGTCTTACACCTGTATTCACGTCAAACACCTCGCCGAGTTTCCCGTTGTGGATCATCTGACACGTGACCTTGTCATATAACCAACTGTTGAATGAGTTTGATAAAGACCTGGGCATTGCACGCCATAGTGTTGAAGTAGATTCCAAATTACTTCTCAGCCAACGCTGTCCGTCGAAGGCCCTTTCAAAGTCGATGAAGCTAAGACAGAGGTTTGACTGCCATTGTATGCTTTGTTCTGTGATGACGATGCGTAGAGTTGCAATTCGATCAGCACATGATTTGCCTTTCTTGAATCCAGCTTGTTCCGTGCGGAGTTTAGCATCTTTTATTCTCTCCAGGATGACGCGACTTAGTATTTTACTTGGCGTGGACAACAGCATGATTCCACGCCAGCCCTTGCAGAGGTGCAAGTCTCCCTTTTTTGACAGCTTGACAAGGTAGTCAGCCTTACTCCCAGTCGGTAGGTACTTTTCCTTCTTTCCAAACCTTTTACAGTAATGGTGTGAGAACATTTGCTGCAGTCTCTGCGTTCATTTTTAGTGCTTCAGTTAGGAGAAATTCGGTCTGTCCCTTCTGCCATCTCGGATTTCAGTAGCACTCAGGATTTCTGCTTTCGTTGGAGGATCGATGTCCACTAGCCGGCAGTTCTGTGCGTGCTGTTGGTGGTTTTTCGGGACAAGTTGCAGGTAATAGTTGATGTAAGAGTCCTTTAAAGTGATCAGTCCATTGTTTTATTTGTTTCTCCGCCTTGGTAATTAGGTTCCTTTGAACATCAGTTATGTTACGTCACTGAATTTTACTTATTCAACTTTATTTTACTTTCTACTCGATCAACGCTTTTTATATTACATAATCACAAAGTATATTTAATTTATTTTAAAAAGATATGAGCTAATTTCAGATCTTCACATCTCTTGTTTTTGTGTGTGTATATGTAATCATTTTTATTATTATTATTGTTGTTGCAGAGTGAAACTGAACCACCTCCGCATCCCAGCAAGCATTCAAAACAAGGCCTACTACAACTAGTCGACGTTGCATCTCCAGTTCAATTCAATGGTCGATCAAGACCAGCTAAGCGAAAATGTGATGCAGATCATCAGTTGGAGAATACACTCAAACAGATTAGTCAATATCCAATATATACAGCACCACCACCGGATCAGTTGTTACATCAATTGATGAAGAAACATTGATTAGTCTTCAATACAAATCTATATATATATGTACATATTTGGAAACATTTTGTAAATGATATATGTATATATATCTTTTTTGCTGACTCGTATTTTCTATAGTTCCGTTTGTAAATGTTAGTTTTGTTTTTACGAGTTGATCACCGATGGATATCAGTTAGAGAACCATTGAAAACCAGGGAGTACTGGACGGCTGCTGTTTCATCCTAGTTTTGGAATCATCGGCAGTACCCGCCCACTGCCAAGGTTCGAAGCCAGGACCTTCCGGTTACAAAGTAAGCTAGCTCGCATACCATTCAGACACTGAGACCCGATCCAGTGGCCAATCCATGAATTGTAACTTCTACCAATTCGTGATTTAGCGCAACCCCAACCATTGTCGTAGGGGGGGGGGACATCCATCCGCACACGTGACATCTAATTGGACCTCATTGGTGACGACTTCTCACTAGAACTCACTGCAGAAGATTCCATCCTGTAGCAAGTCCCTAACGAGCATCAGATTAATTTTCTATTGTTTGGTTTGTAAGGGTTAGTTTTGTTTTTACGAGTTGATCACGAACCTCAGTGGGTGCGTACTGCCGATGATTCCCAAACTAGGATGAAACAGCTCGCTGTCCAGTACTCCCTGCTGGTTTTCAATAGTTCTCTAAGTTATATCAATACGTGACTGATATTGTTAAGAAATATGTATGATTTGGTCAAATGCGGGTTACCAGTACATGTCGCAATGTTTTTTTTTACTTAACTTATCACGGCATTCTTGTTAGGCTAGTTCTAGACAGATCAGTTACGTAATAATCGTTTTATTTACGTATGGTACGCTATTCAGCTAATTAAGTTTCCTGTTACTGAAATAATATGGGTAGATGGTGTCTAACAGTGGAATATAGGTTGCTTATTTCGTCCTATTCGGGACTCGTCAGTCTCAGTCAAATCAATTAGTAGGAAAATCCGAATGGAATCAAATAACTACACCGATATACCTGTCGCACAAAAAAGTGGTGGCCCAATTGGGTTCAATGGATAGTGCTTTGGCTTTTGAGACTATGTGTGCACCGGGTTCGAGCCTCAGTGGGGAAACACCATCACTCACTGCTGACTGGGGTATGCAGGCACATACACTGACTGACGAGTCCCGGATAGGACGAAATGCACACCCTGGATCCCATACACTGCTAGTCATCGTCCACCGAAAAATGTTTTTTTTTATTCCTGTACATTCCCAGTGAAACACAGGGCGTCAGGCTAGAGGCTTGAAGTTTCGATAGCAGTGGTGTTTATTTTTCATATCCAACCTTCCCTCTTTACAGCTGGCTTGGCGAGGTAAAGGCGTGCATCCAATGGCCGGGGATCGAACTCCGGACCACCTGCGTGGTCGGCGAGCATTCCATAAAATCTACACAAGGAGGATGACATGTCAACCTGAGTCCAAGCACTTAAGTCCAATCAGTTAACTGAGAAGTTCAAATTGAGTTGAAGTCGCCGTTACTATTAATCACTTTCACATACTGGTCAAAAGTTCAGTTTCGGTAGCCTGTTTATATCACTATCGAGTTGTCTGAATTCCCATCTAACGCAATGTCAAAATTTTTTTAAAGACTTAATTTGTAGGCATTTTATTTGTTTCAAGTTTGACCACGGATTGATATCAGTTAGAAAACCAGTAGGAGTAAGTACTGAACAACTAATTGTTGCCCGCTTGTAACTCGCTCTAGGACGAAGTTGCCTGATGTTCTTGTGAGAAGAAGTGGGGTCCACTAGGTAGTCGGATATTAGAACAAATATTACCCAGTCGCGGTGAAATCATTAATTCATAGGAGTTAGATTAGAAATCATGGGTCATTCATTATGGCCTACTACCTTTCCTTGTACAATGGAAGGTCTTGTGTCCGAATCTCGATGGCTTCCAGGCTTAGTGTGTCTTTCTCGGTGATGAAGTAAAAAATATCGTCAAACATTATTTAATCAGCACATCGAACATCACGGCATTCAATGAGATACTTAAGATTGCTGACTAACTAGTTTCAGCGTAGAACTTTGCACAGATGTGCACCAGTTTAAGCTGCCACACTCCCTTCATGTAGCACACAAAGCAAGAGAAGAGAGATTCGAAACATGGACAGATAAACAAAAGTGTGAGGCAAAAAGAAAAGTAATCTGGAAGAACAATAAAATTTTATTGGGTGTGACAAATCACAAAGAGTGAGTGAATGCATGTATGCCGGCCACTGAGAACGACTTTCAGCCACATCACCAATTGTCTACAGCCTTCATTGGTTCTTACGATCTCGAAGACTCCAACTAGTCAGTGGAGAAATCTTCACCTCCCTACGTGGCCGGGTTGCTTAAACTAACTAGTAGATTTCATTGACTCTTTTCCAACCTCATCAATCCTATATCAGCTAAGATTGCCTGTCATTGAGGAAGGCGATCAATAATTAAACATGCATTCGTAACACATGTTATGACTATCTCTCTTAACCGATTCAGCTTCACAACATCGTCAATTGATTTCCCCTCCCACCTACCTAGCTCTAGACCGATGCATAACCAACTCAATAGTACTCACCCTATTATACCACCACCTAACACGGTGGTGGCATTGGCAACCATTCATGTATTCCACTTTCAATGGTCATGTCTTATTCACAGCCATAACGGAGGATGGAGTGGGCGAACTTCTGCTGTTCAGTACACACGTCCTCTGATCGACAGCAGCCAGCCGACGGGATATCACGTCTACTAATCAAGAGATGTCGTAAGTTGCTGGTGAATACCAAACGAGCCTTCAGTATGCGTGCTGAGATTTCGTCAGTGATCAACCGGCTGGAGCTGGTTGATGCAACTTTCAAATCAGTGAAGTGGTGAACACGCTCTACCATTTACCTCCCTAAACTAGGAGTATGTGTGTGTGTTCAGACTAGCCCTGTAGCCTCATCAGCCTACATTTCATAGGAATTAATCGGATGCTCAGAAGATTGGTGCTTGCTCAAGGTGTTCAGACGACTCTGCACAATGGCTGATTTTTAAGCAAATCTTTACTGATACTATGTGTATAGCTTGATCAACCTAGGAAGAACTCCTCTAGTACAAAACACTGAAGAAAGGCATAAAACTATTCGTTCTATTGTGTTATTTTTTATTTTATTTTATTTAATAGAAAAATCAAGGATATTATAAAGTTGTAATCAAGAAATCATACAATATAAAATAAAGAAAGAAAGAGAGATAGATTGGAAGGTAGGCTTGTATCTGGCCATCGCTTCAGCCAGCTGGATAGATACCGAGTAGCGTTTACAGTGCACTTATCGTTGTATATTTTCCAATCAATATTTTATTAGAGAATGATATGTTTGCTGGTTGATAGTTTGAAAAAGGATCAGCGTGAAATTTTGTTCTGGATTCTGGAAAGCAGAGAAATAAAATAAACAATACGAATTAATTTTCTACAGTTTGGTTTGTAAGGGTTAGTTATGTTTTTACGAGTTGATTGCGGATGGATAACAGCCAGAGAACCATTGAAAACCAGGAAGTACTGTAAAGGTGCTGTTTCATCCTAGTTTGGGAATCATCGGCACCCACTGCTAGGGTTCGACTCCAGGACTTTCCGGTTACAAGACAAGCTAGCTCGCACACCATTTAGCCACTGAGACCCGATGTAGTGGCTAGTGCGTGAATTCCAACTTCTACCAATTCGTGATTTAGCGCGACCCCAACCACTGTCATTAGAATTTATGAGCCATTGAGTCGGGTCTCAGTGGCTGAATGGTGTACGAGCCAGCTTGCCTTGTAACCGGAAGGTACTGGGTTTAATCCCAGTGGGTGCGCACTGCGGATGATTCCCAAACTAGGATGAAACAGCAGCTGTCCAGTACTCCCTGGTTTTCAATGGTTCCCTAATTGATTATAATAGAGGTTTTTGTATTTCCCAATGAATGAAGAACAAAACGAGATTGTTTTTACTGACGTTTCGCTATTTCATGCTAATAGCTTTCTCAAAGTATTATTGAACCGGAATTTACAAAATCTCAGCATATATATGTAACAAAGAGTTAGGGGTGAGAAAAATATAGACTTAGTTCAACCTAAAAGGACATATTGAAAGTCAAAATAACAATGAAGATCGTTCAAACCAAATATCAAAGGTAATAGTATATCTGTTAATAATAATAATAATAATGATTTACTTTATTCCAAAAACAGTACTTGTGATACAGAATGGAATTTTCAGCATTAATCACAATATTGCATCTAATTTCCTCAAATTATAAATAAAATTAATCACACAGAAAATTTTCCACATTTACAATAGAGGTAGTGTCAAAAACATGCAGCATATAAAATGGAAATAAATAATAATGATAACAGCTAGGGTAATAATAATAAGAATACAAGTGAAAATTGCCGTTGGCTTGTGTCACACAGTATTGGCAATGTGGTATAGAAATCCTAACATGTTTAAAAATATTGAATATAATGTTCTCTTTACATGATATGGTGAAGGGAAAAACAAAGATTACAGCCGTCATGGAGATAAGTTGGTGTTTGCAATTATGAGAGTAAAACAGAGAAGTAACAGGACCATAAATATAATAGAAGTAATAAAAGTAAAACTTGAAGGTATATAAGGATGGATGGAGGAAATTGTTTATTTACTAGATGAAAAAAGGTTAGTTAATTCTTGCCTGACACTATTTTCATCACATAAAATACGTGCCAAGTATGGTATCATAGAATTTCTATACTTAGACGTGCGAGCATACAGTTTTCTGAAGTTACTCCTTGTTCTACCTGAGGAGATGCAAGGTGAAAGCTGAGGGTAAAGCGGATGCTCCAAGTCAGACAAAATCCCTTTAGCAAATTTATTGCACGAAGTCAAGTGCCTATCGACAACGACGTTAACTATGTGGTCCACTGGGACACCACTCACCCTACTGACAGTCTTCAGTATTCTACGAATTGTGACATAGTCCTTTTTAAGCAAACCAGGAAAGAATAAGGGTGAGCAATAAAGAAGAATAGGTAGGATGCAAGAGTTTACGAACTGTAAGAGGAGGGGTTGAGTTATACCCGAGTGTCTTAACTTCTTAATGTAAAATGTCAGGCGGAATATTTTACTGGAGATTGCTAAGACATGGGAAGACCAGGAGAGATCAGAAGAGAGAATGAGTCCAAGATACTTAATTTCTGATTTGATTCCTATATCATTGTCGTCAATTTTACAACTGTCATGAGAATCGATGACTTCTTTTAACTGTCGTTTACATCTTAAGCTGAAATCAACAGTTTGACACTTAGAAGGATTCAGTTTAAGACCGTTAGACTCAGACCATTTGCTGACTTCCGATAGAAAGCTATTTATTTTAGTACAATCTAGCTGGGAGTTAACAGCCATTGAAACCGTTAAATCATCAGCGTACTTCACAAAGTTTATTTCATCAGAGTGAGGCAAGTCATGCAAGAAGAAAGAAAAAAGAAAAGGAGAAAGAACAGCACCTTGAGGGACACCAGCTTCAGTAGGCAATGAAGTGGAAGACTTCCCTTTATATACGGTGTACTGCTTTCTATCTGAGAAATAGGAATGTAACCAGTTAACAGCCCAACATTCTGTTTGACTAGCAGCAAGTTTATTTAATAAGATGTCCCTAGGGACCGAGTCGAAAGCAGATGTATAGTCTAGGAAGGCGCAACGAACAAATTTAGCCCCCTTGTCTAGACTGGAAGCAATGTTATGATATAAGACGGCAGCTGCATCTAAAGTGCTTCTACTGTGCTTATAGGCAAATTGTTTAGGGTCATTAAAGGATTTAAGCGAAGGTACAAGACTAAGTAAAAGTAATTTCTCCATAGTTTTCAAAAAAGGAGAGGTAATAGCAATGGGTCTAAATTTGACACATGCTCCAGTAGAAGATTTAGGTATGGGTACAACTTTAATGTCCTTCCAAACGGCAGGCACAATATTATCGGAAAAAGATTTGTTAAATAGATCAGTAAGAGGGTGACACAGAATATCAGAACATTTTTTAAAAATAATACTAGGTACATAATCGGGACCTAAGCTCTGGGAAGGGTTTAGAGACTTGAGGCACTTTTGAACATCATTTGTGTTAAAACCTGGAAAGGGGCTATTATTAACACAAGTGATGCTGGGAAGCATGGCATTTGAGGGAGAGTAAATAAAAGATTTGTTAAGAGTACATACATCAAAAGAATATGGAATATTGTTTATCTGCTTACCACCAGTGATTTCCTTAAATAGTTTCCACATATTAGAAGGATTTTTGCAGGATATGAATTTCTGGTTATATATTACATTCAACCTCTGCATTTCAGACTTAATTAAGAAGTTAGTTCTTTTTACACCATTTTTATTTTTCAGTTTTTCCTTCTCTCTACGAAGCTTTTTAAGTTGAGGCGAGGAGAAACGGTCAAATTTGACGAATAGTGTTTCTTTTGGACAACAGATTTCAAAACAGAATTTCAGATAGGATGTAATATTAGAGATATTGTCATCAAGTGAATCAACATTAAACAAATCCCATCTTGTGTCACTGAGCATGTTTCTAAGATGATGTACGTTCTCATTTGAGTAGCATCTGTGAACAACTTTCTTAGACAAGTTTGAGAGGGCTTTACTGTGTAACTTTCCGTAAATTTTGGGTAAGACTCGTACAATACAATGATCAGAATTGAAGAGCGGGGCTCTTTTACGAGCTTCGTATATTCCAGAATCATTTATAAATACTAAATCAAGTGAAGTATTTTGTCGAGTTGGGAAATTAACAACATTTTCATGGCCCAGCAATGTAATAAAACTGCAGTCGCTGGAGTTGAAGTCGCCGGTCACTATAGATAAGGAGTTACCAAACGAAGCAGCAGCAAAAATAGTGAATTCATCAGCGAAGATAGATAGTTCTGAGGGACTGCAACAAGGTGTGATATAGATATTTGTGACAAAAATGGAGCTATACTTAGGTAAGTGTTTAGGTCGACATTTTACAGTTATACAGTCAATATTGTCATTTGAGAATTTGAAGCAGACGTTGTTGGCAGTAGACCACTGAGAATTAATAAAAGTGGCAACACCACCACCTCTCTTCTTCTTTGAGCTGCATCGGTCTTGTCTGTAGATTGTGAACCCACTTAAGGAGACTAAATTATCGTCATATGAATCATGGAGCCAAGTCTCTTGAAGAGTGATTACACCAGTATTACAATATACATTTGAGTATAATAGAGAATGCAAGTAGTTAATCTTGTTCGATAATGACCTGCAATTTGTGCTCATAATCACAGGAACAGTCATCTGATGCATTGGAGTACACTTTAATGATCTCTGCCAACCTCCATGATGCTTTTTCTTAACGTTATTATATACTCGTAAATCAACAGGTTGAAAACATTTTAAATAATCGCGAGAGTAAGTAATGCGACTTGGATACATAATTGAATGATTAAAACAAAATAAATCCGAGGAAATAGATGCAATATGTAGGATGGAAATTTTGGTAGCCCAAGATTTAAGCAGGCCGCCAGTTATTATATCAAAATAAAGTTTACTAACTTGATCATCGTTCGTCAGTCTGGGGTCATTTTTCGTTGTCAAGTTGGCGAACTGGTAAAGATAACAAAATCAAGTGTAGATTGTGGAATACTTGATTATCGTTCGTCAGTCTGGGTCGTTTTTTGTTGTCAAGTTGGCGAACTGGTAAAGATAACAAAATCAAGTGTAGATTGTTGGATTTTGTCAGTGTGTAGAATTATGAAAGTAGTGTGTGTTTACATAGTGAACTTGCTTATCACATTTGCGTTGATTTTGCTACTTCAAGGGGGGAGGGTGTTGTAGCCAGGTCAGATTCTGTTTTAGTCCATCATTCCTATCCAGGCAAATTGGATTCCACCTGATATGAAGTGATTCTGATATTAGACGTTCTTTGTGGTTTCTGAAGTTTTTCTGGATTATTTCAATATTGTCAAAATCAATTTTGTGGCCTGATTCTATAGCATGTAGACCTATGGCTGATGATTTTTGAAGTTTTTCTAGTTCAATTGGATTTCTTGGTGGTCGAAGAGATGCTCTACGGTGTTCATTTCTTCTGATTTTGATTTCTCAAAAGAGATGTTTGTCCGATGTAAATCGCATCACATTCAAAACGAGCATTGTATTTTATAGACACAATTAGATAGAGAATCTTTAGGGATTTGGACTTTTATATGGACAAGGTTGTTTTGAAGTGTGTCCGATGTTTTGAAGAAAACTCTAATGTCGAGTTGATTGAGTACTCTTCTGATATCGTCTGACGTCTTTCCTCTATATGGGATGACGACTGTTGAAGTCCATGTTTTCGGAGTGCATTTTCGGTCATACTTAATGTCTGTGTTGATTTTGTTGATGAAGTTCCTTGGGTAGTTGTTTTGCTTGAGAGTTTCAGTGATGTTTGATATTTCTTCTTCTTTTTCTTGCTCATCCGTTATCACGCACTGACAAAATCCAACAATCTACACTTGATTTTGTTATCTTTACCAGTTCGCCAACTTGACAACGAAAAATGACCCCAGACTGACGAACGATGATCAAGTTAGTAAACTTTATTTTGATATAATAACAGATATACTATTACCTTTGATATTTGGTTTGAACGATCTTCATTGTTATTTTGACTTTCAATATGTCCTTTTAAGTTGAACTAAGTCTATATTTTTCTCACCCCTAACTCTTTGTTATATATATGCTGAGATTTTGTAAATTCCGGTTTAATAATACTTTGAGAAAGCTATTAGCATTAAATAGCGAAATGTCAGTAAAAACAATCTCGTTTTGTGTTTTCATTCATTGGGAAATACAAAAAACCTCTATTATAATAAATATCATATACCCAATGCCTAAATTTTTTCAAACCGTTAAAGGTTCTCTAATTGGTATCAATCCGTGATCAACTCGTAAATACGAATTAAAGATGATTTTGCATACTGTTCGAAAAACAACAGCATCGATGAGGATACAACAAAGTGTCACTGAAGGAAAGGCAGGTGGATTGTCGGACATATGCTGAAGAGAACGCCAACTGGTGTCATGCACCACGGACATCGAGTACAATAGATGAATATACCGCTTCAACATTTCGGCGAATTGAGTATATTTTCAACGGTTATATCGAGGAGATCACCTGAGGAGGAAAATGAAAGCTTGTGAGCAGTTGTCTTGAAGGTAACTGAAAGTGTTCTTACAGAACCAAGTACAAAGGATATTGTGCCTCCGAGGGCCTATTTTGCAGTTGGAAAGCATAAAATAACTCTCTCTCTCTCTCTCTCTCTCTCTCTCTATATATATATATATATATATATATATATATATATATATGACCACGGGGTTAGGGTTTTGATGATGAGTTGATGAATTTTGACCTTCTTGAATTGCCATGTTGAAGTACAAGCTTACACTTTTTATTATATTTTTCCATCTTCTCTCAAGCCTCTTTTCTTCATAGTTTGAAAGCATATAATTTGATGGTGATTAAAAACTAAAAATTGTAATATTCATATTCCGGATGCGTTCATCTTATAATGTTTTCTCTGTTACCTTTCATACATTGAAGTATTTTATTGCCATTATTTATAACCATTGTAATTTCAGGTAGTTTGCAGTTAGTTCATGAGAACCTGTGAAATAAAATGATGATATCATTTTATACTGCAAATCAAGGCACTCTATTCAAACTCACGTAGCCGTGTAAGGGCTTATGGGGAATTGTCATCTCAATTGATAACAACCAGTGGTGTCCGACAGGGATGTCCACTTTCCCCATTTCTGTTTAACTTCATCATAGATATGTTAATGGAAGTATCCTTAACTGAATTTAACGACTTAGGAATCGACTTGTTACCAGGGAACTTAGAGTATGCGGATGACATAGTCCTGTTAGGGGAGGATGGAGACAAAATAGAGCAGAGTCATCTGAACACCTTGAGCAGCAATCTTCGTTTGTTCGGCATGCGACTCGCCCCTGCGAAATGTAAGATGCTGCTACAGGACTGGACTAGGTCAACTCCTAGCTTAGTGATAGGGAGTGAAGTGATAGAACATGTTGACCACTTCACCTATTTGGGAAGTTGTATTAGCACCAATGGACTGATTGGCGATGAAATCTCAGCACGGATCCGAAAAGCTCAAGCTGCTTTCGCCAACTTACGCCATCTCTAGCGTAGGCGTGACATCCGGCTATCAACCAAGCGACGTGTGTACTGCTCATCAGTTCGCTCCGTCCTTCTCTATTGCTCTGAAACATGGCCAATACGAGTTGAAGACATGAAAAGGTTAACTGTTTTAGATCATAGATGTCTACGATCTCTTTCTCACGTTAGGTGGTTTAATAAGGTAAGTAATGTTGACGTTAGGCGTAGAGTGTTGGGCAAAGAGGGAAAACCAATTGACGAGGCTATAAAGTTACATAGATTGAGATAGCTAGGTCACGTGCTGCGCATGCCTAACCATCGCCTCCCGTGACAGGCATTACTAGCTGATATAGGTGCAGGTTGGAAAAGAGTGAGTGGTGGCCAAACAAAAACATGTCATCAATCCACGAAATCCTTGACAGTTAAACTGAGTCGGTCAGGTAGGTAGATGCAGACTCCGGGTTGGGGCCCCCGAGACTCTAAGAATCAATGGCTGCAGACAATAGGTGACATGGCTCAAAATCGTTGTCAATGGCCGGCGGAGATGTATTCAGTCTCTGTAATCTTTCATATTTCTTTCTACCATTACTCATTCTGTTTCACTCTTATACTTGTCAAACTCTATTGATTCTCTCCACTCATCTTCTTGTCTACCTTTGTGTGCTATTTGGAACGTGGTAACTCGAACTGGTGCACTTGGGTGCCAAGTTCTATGTTGAATCCAGACAGACAGACTGCAAATCTTGTCTTTCTTTCTCTATCGAAAGAAATAATAAAAACTTGTGTTTTTGAAACATCAACATCGTTATCCAGTAAGTAATACTCCTAAACGGTGTTTTTTTTATTATTCGATGAAATGTGTTCACACCCTACTAAATTACTAAAAGTAAAACTCACCGCATAAATTACACTGCAATGACCACACTACAATACCACTTCTTAACTCCTATCTGAACGTTGCCTTAAATAAGAACCCGATGCATTCCGTGATCGTTGATCTGTCACCACATGCGAAGGAAAATCTGGTATACTTGAGGCGTTTATCATCCTTTGATCGATTTCATTGGCATCATTTAGAAGTCCACCGTCAAAAAGTGATTGACGTAATTCCAATGATAATCGACGTCTATACGCTTCAGGTTTGTCTTGAGCGATACGATGCAAGATAGCAGCGGTATATGCAGCTAAGTTGGGGGGAAACAAAACAAGAAACATTGAGTTTTTAGGAATATGACAGTAAGTTGTTGGTTCGCTGGTAGGATGCTTACCAGCAGCGAGGCAGGTCGTTTGGCTTCAATTCCCGCCGCCTGAAGCACTCCAAAGCTTCTCTTAGCCAGGAATCAGCACGAAATAGTGTATCATCCTTTTCTCACGAACTGTGTGATTTATCTCGTGAATGTATCATTTCTCATGCATATTGTGATTTAGTGTTTGAGATCAATTCATTGTCTTTTGTCTCACCTCACTCTTTGTCGGATCGCCAACCAATGAGAATAGACATTTCCAGTCAATAGGGAAACTTCATTCGCACAGCTGTGAGCCGACTTTATTATGGTTAAGAAAATTTATAAATATCATATGTTGTTTCCTAAAATCGTACAATACAATATCTTACAGTCACAGGCCAATCTTTATCTTCTGATGTTTGCCTGGCTCAGTGAATCGGAAGGTACAACGGATAAACAGGTGTATTAGCGTACCAGTCGATTTCATTGCCGTAGAGGCCGAACTCATAAATACTCACTGAAACGTTAAGATCCTGAAGCCTTATGTAAAAAGAAGGATAAATGCCGTCAGAAGCCTACATCAGTTAAACACATTGATCCTATTCAGGTGGGTAATTACCTGGTTTCTATTGGAAAGCCGTGACCGATGCCATTCACTAGCAGTCACACTATGTTGTGAATTGGTAGGAGTTGGGATTCATGGGCGCTCGCCATTGGATTGGGTCCCAGTGGCTAAATGGTCTACGAGCTCTCCTTGTAACCAGGAGGTCCCACTTTCGAGCCCTGGTGGCAGGTGCGTACTAGTTAAGAGTCCCAAACTAGGCTGATGAAACAGCTGTCCAGTACCCCCAGGTTCGCTAACCGATGTCAATTTATAATGAAATCCTGGAACCAAACACACTTTCATTTTCTTATTCCATTCCTCGCATTCCCAGTGGAATACAGGACTTCAAGCTTTAAGTTTTTGTAGCGATGATGGTGTTGTTTTCATGGATGACATGAGGTTGTTAGCCCTACATTTAACCATTCACGTCTTCTTCGGGCTTATTATCACAACAACTGGTTAACTAGGCGAGGTTTAGGAGTGTGTCGACGGGGAATCGAACTTGAACCACCTACGGTGTCAGATGAGCATTCTATCGCTAGTAACGCATGAAATCAGCCCCAAAATGCATAATAAATAAACGTCATTAGGCAACAGCAAGTGGTGTAACATGTGAATATTATTCGCCTGAATAAAGATGAACGTCCTCAAGGTCTAACAAAACCTTTCAACTGTTGGAGTCTATCAAGTTGGCGGTACAGATGGAAGCTGATTGATAGTATTTATTGGTTGGCGTTGATATTATGTCAATAATCGAAAGAAATCAGAATCCATGGATTAGGGGATTCCAAAGTATTAACTGGACGACAGTAGACATGCTCTGTTGAAAATGTCTATATATATATGTAGAACTAAAAGTTCATCCGGAAATATCATCCTTCTCACTAGTATATTTAATGAAGTTTAGGGGCAGTTGGCAAGAACCCATGGACTTAGGTTTCGCGCTTTGTTGGCACTCATCAGCCATCAATGCGTATCTGCAATCTAAAAGAAAATCATGTCCCTTCTATGCCAAACAGTTTAAGCTCTTCAATGACCAAACATCTGATAGACACAAGACACCAAGAAGACGTACTGGCATTATTCAAAATAAATTAACAGACAAAACATCTCGAGTCTTCATCTGTTTGCTGAGACTATAGAAATAAAATGGATCCATGCTACCCTGAACAAATGTTTGTAATAAAAGCAGTCCCGACCGATAGCTGCTACCTTGAAGTGGTGGTCGCCGGGCTTGCACATCGCAATGACCCAACAAGCTACTGAAGATCCTACCATACAAGGAAGATTCTTAGGAAAGCGATTCGACACTTACCGACATAGCGTAAGATTTTGTTTTTTACACTATGCTGGAGGTCTTTGGGCGAAGTCGTACTGCTGGGGGACAGAGGTGTAGCAGCAGCATGCCAACCAGCTCTGCTGTCTCTCAATTCTGAAGTGATGAGGATTAGAAAAGTTCGACTCTACGGCGATGCGTAACCAGCGGTAAGTTTACTAATACAGAAACAATCCAAGAAACTAGTTCATACAGACCGTGTGTGACCGGCTGGGCTCAAGCAGTTGTCCCCTGGATTCTGCGGTCACGCAATACTAACCCACTTTCTACTTCAGGTAGGTGCCCGAAGAATGAATCAACTTCCACGATGTGGGCAGCCGGGAAGCAACTGTCGCCCACACACTTCCAAAGCACACGAAGCCTTCATGAACATCATTCTCCTTTACTCATCAATAAAAGCAGTAAAAACATTATTAAAATAATACTATAACAAGAATACATTGGGATCAATCTCATTGCACTCCACTTTCACAGCCAAACACTTGTAGAAGATATCAGCAGAAACATGCACAAACTCACCAATATATTCATTATTCGATTGAATAAGTTCAGTGAGTTTAGGACAAGCACCTTCATTTTCAATTGCTTGACATCCAGAACGTGAAGTTGATAATTGGCTAAGGAAAGCAGCTGAAGCACGTTGTAGGCATATTGATGGAGAATAAACTAACTGAGAAGTATTTTTAAAAAAAACAACCAAAAAATCAAATTTTATTTATTGATTTATACAAGAGTCTAATTGTCTGTTAATGTTAACGATACAAAATTCTACATCAAATCTTATATAGTTTGTCTTATTTGAGGAAAGTAAGAGAAAAGAAAAAGGCGACTGTTTCTCCTCTTGAAATGACATTTCACTGGTGCGTTCTTCCTGAGACGTTGACCCTTAAAACAATCGTGAGCTGTTGGGATCTAGAATATCCATACAGACTACTGACCTTCATCAAATAAAAACTTAGAAATTGATATAGGTGTTTAATGCAATGGCTATCAAACATAAAGTTATATTTAAAACAATTAGTTCCCTTTATGAATTTAAATAAAGCAATAAGAAAACGTAATTTGTCTGAATCATGTATTGTATGTATTTGCGCGCGCAACACATTTTGAACAATCTGATCCATCACATATGGACTTGCCACAGGACAGTATATATACGAAATTAATAAAGAGGTAAGAGGTGAGAAAATAGACCATTTAGGTCAAGCTAAAAGGATATATTCAAGGTTAAAATAACAATGAAAACCACTAAACCAAATAGCAGAGGTAATATTACATCTACCCTGGCTGGTATCAAAACAAAATTTACCAAAGAAGGTTTAATGTGATGACAAATTCATTTTGAAAACATAAAGGTGGCTTAAACTTCCTAATTGCCAGCTAGGGCTTACACAAACCTTAGGATACGCCCCAAACACATTTTATAGATAGGTTTAAAAGATCTGTTAACGTCAATTTTATGTCCTGTCTCCTCTGTAATATGTTTCGCAATAGAAGAGCTAGGTCTCCTGTTCTCACCGTTAATGGGTTCTGAGGATTCTATTTGCCTCTGAAACCAGCCCTGACTTGCAAAGATCGATGAGTCCTCCCCTCTATGTATGTGTGTCCACACGTACATTCAAATAGGTAAATACAGTGGGATGTGACATCATTTTTCGCATGTTCAAAGGGCTTACATAGATATATTGGCTTTACATTCTCAATTATTATGATATTAGCTGCATAAAATATCTTTTTAAACACAACAGCGTTGAATCTTTGTCTAGTTATCAAGGTGTTATGATCACCCATAAAGGGTAGCTTGATGTACACGTCTTTTTTAGGGGCGAGTTAGAGCGTGGGTCTTGTTGTTCCACTGACTACTTTATATCTTCTGATGAACTTGTCTGGATAATTGTTATCAACCAGAGTTTGTGTCAACGTTCTTTCTTCAACATCAAGTGCATTTTCGGTGGATTTTACTGAAGAGGCACCTTACTAAGGCTCTTTTGTACCGAACGGGGCGGAAACTGTGGTAATGCGGATACTGTCCTGTCCAGGTAGGTTTTCTATAAAGTTATATCTTTAAGTATTTCCATTATCAATATTACAACAAGAAATATAAGCGAACAATGTTGTTGTTTTCAATTATATCTTCTTCAGGCTTTACTCTAATTTACATAGATTTATATATAGAACAGAATTTAACCAATGACGGTGATTTTGTGGATCAAGTAGTACTGTCTGTCTGTTTTCGACATAGAAGTTTGCACTGATGTGCCACACTCCATGTAGCACACAAAGCAGGAGAAGAAAGTAGAAGAAATGCGTAATAGAGACACTAAACAGAGGTGTGAGACGAAGGAATAGTAATAACGAAGAACAAAACAGTTTCATTGGAAATCATAAGTCACAAGGAGTGGATGCATCTCCATCAGCCATTGAGAACGACTTTGAGCCATATCACCAATTGTTTCCAACCATTGAATTTTACCGTCCCGACAACCCCAACCAGTCAGGAAGTCTACACCTTCCTACGTGGCTGTCTGGCTTAAACTAACTGTTGTAGATTTCATTGACTGGCGAAGCCATGTTTTGGTTTGACCGCCGCTAGCTCTTTCCCAGCCTAACCTAATGTCAGCTAACATTGCTCATTGTCGGGGAAGGCGACGACTAGGCATACGCGTAACACATGTCCTAACCATCTCAGTCGACGTAACTTCACAACTTCATCGACTGATTTCCCCTCCATACCTAGAACTCGACGCCTAACCTCAATATTGCTCACCTTATTATACCACTTCAAACGGGATAGAACGCAGGCACCTATGATCAAAGACAGCTAATCTCTTCATGTCTTCCACTCTCAATGGTCAGGTCTCACAGCCATAAAGGAGGACGGATCAAATAATAATGATAGTAATAATGTGGTAAATGTTTTGAACGAAGTTAATAACGATGATTATAGTGATAACAAAATATTGATAATAAGGTTTATGCAGGTGGCAATAAGAATAACAAAGGTAGTAAGTGATGTGTGTATATGTAGACAATTCAATAAATAAATAAATTAGGTCAAATCTTAAAAGTTACTTAATACTAAAGGTGAAGTGGAGAAATAATCGTTTTTTGAATAAATATCATAAAAGTACGAAGGAGATGGAAAATAAGAAAGGGTGGGAGGGTTTTGAATAGAATTCACCTAGGCGAAGCAAGGGAGAGACAAAGGTAGAACAAACTTCTTTTTGTATGCAAAGACTAGGATTGTTCTCTCGAATTAATTCCCATGCCTTCGGCTGTGTGTAGAAGACAGATTCGAATTCCGTTCGAAAGACTCGATGGAATGCGATAGATAACTTTGAAGGCGGCACTATTTTTGTCAACTTGGTGACCACTATCATCAATCAAATGAACCAAAATAGAACTTCCTATAGATTTTATTTGACCTTTTCCGAACCATGAAGGAAGGTGCTTATTAATGGTGCGCTTGTTAAGCTGTCTAGTTGTTCGCCCTATACACCTAGCTCTCTCCACAGGAGCAACTAAATTTATAGATACACATAGATGTGGCACAGCTAGCTAGGTAGCTTTTTCTTGAGCAATCATAATTGGCGGTAGCTGGAAAATGACAAACAAAGGGGGGGCAGGCAGTATAAGTCCGTTTTATCGCTCTCGATAATCTCAGATGTAAGACTTCGCTAGCCACGTCCCCATTAAATTGCAATTTGCTATTCTTATCGCCACCTGTATAAACCTTATTAACAATATTTTGCTATCATTATAATCATCGTTAATAATTACGTTCAAAACATTTACCACATTATTATTATTATTTGATCCACAAAATCACCTTCATTGGTTAAAATTTTTTATGCATAAATCTATGTAAATTATAGTAAAGCCTGAAGAAGATCTAACTGAAAATTGTTCGCTTAAGTGTCTTGTTCTAATAAAGTTATATAAGTAATATGCGATAAATCAGTATTTAAGTGTTGGTTTTGCAAGGATTTGATTGGTTTCAGGAGTTCATCATGAATTAGCATCGGTTAAAGAACCATTGAAAAACCAGTAGTCGTCAACCAGCCGTTTCGTCCTAGTTTGGGACTCACCATCAGTACGCACCCTCCGCCTGGATTTCAACCCAGGACCCACTGGTTACAAGACGAGCTTGTAGACCAATAAGCCACTGGGATCCGATTCAACGGCCAACTCATGAATTCCAACTTCGGCCAATTTATGATATGGCGCTAACACTAGCTTATGTCATCGCTGGCGAGTGTATGTTCTCACATCCGGCCTGTTATACCTTACTCGTCACAACTTTCCCCTAGAACCCAAGTAACTATGTAACTTGAATAGGGCCGGTCACTAGTGAGCATCAGATTGATGTTAAAATGTTGGTTTGCAGGGATTTGATTGGTTTCAGGATATCATCATAGTGGATCAGGTCCCAATGGCTTAATCATCTACGAGCTCGCCTTGTAACCATCAAGTCCTGGGTTCGAACCATGGCGCTACGTGAGTACTGGTTAAGAGTCCCAAATTAGAACGAAACAGCTCTCCAGTACTACCAGATGGTTTTCCGATTGTCCTATAACCGACGTCAGTATATGATGAAATCCTGAAATTAGTATTTACTCTTTAATTCAATATCGATTTTCCCTATTGATTGATTGCACCTCCATTAAGGTGTCAGCCCCTTGTGCGGATGCTTCGATGACATCTGAAGATCAACTTGCTGGTCACCATCTACCACATTATTTCAGTTATCAAATAAGGGTTAGTGAGAACGCAACGGGGACACACAGGTAAGCGAGCATTCTGCTGCCTACCAACTCGAAACGTTCTAACAGGTTTTATAGAAGAGAACAAAAATATCTTAGCATCATCCTGTTCAAGACTTAATATTAAACCGTTTACCTCAACATCGTCACCTGAGGTTCCTCACAGTCTCATCTTCACTGGGATCATCGGTCTATACTACTGAAGAGTCACAAACTAGGACGAAACGGCTGCCTAATACTCCATAGTTGTTTTTTTTGTGATTTTCTGATTGGTGACAATTCATGATAAAATAATAACTGGAATTCAACTAAATCCCTACACTTCAACACTTGAAAGCTTTCCAAAAAGACAATATGATCATAAAAGTCTGTGAAGGTCAGAGTGACGGATATTAAGAATAAATTTGTTGAAGTCGAGGTTAATCAAAGTTTGGAACAGTACAACTTGGAGTTTCAACCAGCCGATTTATTTGTAAATGTATTCCATTGGGCGAACAAAAGTAGATGAATGTGTTTAGCTAAAGGTTTCATTGTATTTTAGCGTGTAAACGGTAAAAACATCACAAGTCATATGCTTACAACATAAAGCTATCTATAATGATAATGGTGAAAACTGCTTATTAGTCTAACTACAGTGAAACCTTTAGTTGACGGTGGGGCTACCAATCACTCAGGAGATGTCTCTGGTGGATTAATAGATAGGGTTTTGACGTTTAAAAAACGATCACTGCTGAGTTCAAGGCTCTCAGAGAGAGCAGTATCACTCACTCAATTATATCCAGGCTGACGAATCTCGAGTATAACAAAATCCATTAACTGGATTTCTTTGAAGTAATCATCATCATCATCATCATCATCAACGAAGTAACTTGAAGTTGATAGTCATGGTAATATCGGTTCAATCAGTCAGTCTATATGCTAAAGTGAGGCTGATCACAATACAGTCCATACATATATATATATATCAACAGGAAATGAAAAGTAGTAGTGGAGAAGTTAAAGTATCATAGCGAAAGTCAAGATCTGTCAAAATTTGACCTTCAAGATTAAAGGAACATTACGAAGGGTCATCCCTAATCAAGTAATGCTACTAGAGGAAATCCGTTGGTGAGGGTAAGTACACTTTTCACTTATTACCCTGATATTTTTTTTTCTGTTAAGGGTTAGGTTCAGTGTTAGGGGGTCCTAGAATATCAATGAATCTCAAAATACCACTTTGGCGTTTAATAATGAAAAGTTCCATCAGTAGTAGGGAGATAGATCTGATGTCAAAAAGAGAAAATGAACCAGTGCATTGTGACAAAAAAAAACACATGGAAGACACGAAAAGAAGACAAAGAAACACACACACAATACGGGAAGAGCAGAAGTAGAACAACACGGAAGATCTGTGTGAATGACGACTTTCATATAAGATGTAAATAATAGAGAAGATTTGTTGCTCAGATAGATGATTTTCAATTAGTCGTGTTCTCTGAGCTGGTTGGTTGAATCTCGGAGCTTTCTTTTTTCTTTTGGACAACATCTTCAGCGTAATTTTTAGCATAAAATGAGCTGATTTAAATTCTCCGTGAATGATAGAATTGAGTCTCTCCTGGTGACCATATTTACATGTGTACTGATGACTTTTTACTGACTTGGAATTTGAACCTTCTCTTCAAGTGATGATTTACTTTTTATTAGTTGGTGGTATATTTGGTCTATATTAACGTGTTTGTTAATAACTGATTCACTTGAGTACCAGTCTTCTAGGAATTCTCTGGTAGCCAGCCGGATATTGCGTCTACTAATCCAGAGATGGAGTAAGTTGTTGGCAAATGCAAATGAGCCTTGTGTATCCATGTTGAGATTTCATCAGAGATCAACCCACCGATGTGGTTGGCTAATGCAAATCCCCAAATAAGTGATTATCGGTGATAGTAAGCAAGCGTGTATTACTTCTGTCCTAACTTCCACTGCTTCCCTCAACTTTCCGTTGAGAATCATTTGACATATACGATTAGCATATACCTGTTGAACGAAATTTAAAATGTTTCGGGACACTCCATATAAGCGAGTTGAAGCAGTTTCCAAACTGCTTCCCGGTCAGCTCTGTTGAAGTTGACGTGTAGGTCTGACTACCATTCTATGTTTTTTAATAATAATAATATCTTTATTCTGGACAGTATTCATAAAATGTACAGAATTTTCAGAGGAGTTTATTGCATATCTTCCCTTCGTGCAATCAATACCTTCAAGTAAAATAATAATTAATTGACAGTGTGTGTGTGACACAATGGTCTGTGAGCTGATGAAGAACAAACCACATTCCATTATGCTATGTACTGCTTTGTCTCTTCAACAAGTCCACAATATCTGGTCGAAAGCCAATTGTTAGATGTTCAGAAGTACATTTTTAGACTCAACGAGAAAACTGGAGAACAGTTATCTCATTTATTGGAACCCGTTGCCATCCACAATCAAGCCATTCTTCAAGTTTAGTAGAAACTTGAAAATCAAAAGCTTGTAAACATTTAAATACACACAAGAATAGATAATACCATTATTATTATTATTATTATTATTATTATTATTATTATTATTATTATATCCTTTAATTCCTAGAGGAACATAGGGCTTCAGCCGCCCAAGTCTCCATTGCCTTCGGTTTTCTGCCAACTTTTTCACCCCGCCCCAAGTCTGTCCACACGCTTTCATCTCCTCTTCACATGACCTCCTCAAAGTCACCCTTGCACTGACGACCAACTCGCCGATTCCCTTTCGGGTTCCACTCGAGCAATGGCTTGTCTAGTGATGTCACTTGATGATTTGTTACCTCAGAGTATGGCCAATCCATCTCCATTTTTTCCTGCACATTTGGTTCCTACTGGGTTGATTCGCTCATTGCCAGAGATCCCTGTTGCTGATCTTGAGTATTGAGTGAAGACAACTGTTAATGAAGGTCTGTAGTTTCTTTGAGATGCTCTTTATGATGCACAGTGCAAGTCTCTGATCCGTATAGTAGCACTGACTTTACATTGGAGTTGAAAATCCGGATCTTATTTTTCAACCTGAGTGCTGGTGACCTCCTCACAGACTTAGGAGTAATGAAAGCTTGTCTTGCTTTTCCGATTCTTCCATTGATATCCTCGTCAGTTCCGTTCGCCTGTAGTTGAAACGATACTTCCCAGGTAGGTAAAGGTTGTTTGTTTCAGGTTCCTCCCATTTATGCTGATTGTTGTTGCTGTTGGCCAGGAATCTTCATCACCTACCTCTGTTTTCTCTATGTTCACCTGAAGTCCTATCTTTGATATTTCTTCTACTGCCAACTTGTCGCTTTTCTCTTGCATATCTTCCAGCTTATGGGAAATCAGACATATATCATCGGTGAAGTCCAGATTATACCATTATAAGCGATACATATCCTAATCGATTAAACCAAACCGAACGAGAGAGAAAATATATGCAATAGAGAGAGAGATGGAAGTTTTTGGTAGCCAAAGTTTTAAACAGGCCGTTCAGTGATGATGATGATGATGATGATGATGATGCGGAGTGTTGCTATTTGATTTTCCGGTGGAGTTTTACATCTAAAGTATCTTTTAGTGTCTCCACATAATTTTCAATAACTTCCCTATGTTGATGTGGTGACAGCTGTCTGCTAGCCCAAATTGTAAACAACAATCCACGTCAATGTTTACTTCCCGAATCAGGGTCAGGAGAGAAAACAAGAATACAAGGCTTAACCTTGAGAAACTCAACAACCAATCACAGCAGACTTAGCGTGGGCGGATACGATTCGCAGATATATTGCCTGACTTTCTAAGGAACGGCCACAAAAAGAGATGGCAGAATGACCTTGAGCGAGAAAACAACCAATCAGAAGGCGTTGTTTCTCTACTAATAATAACGAATAGTAATGTGGATAAAAATCTATAAATATGTGTTGATTTTCTCAATAAACGATCTGCTGCCTGTCCATTGAATTCCGTCGTTACATTGGCAGTTGTTATTACAGTATGACTCTCTATGATTAAGCTTGAAAAAAACACGCATATATTACTTAAGTAGCAATTTACACACACACACACACAGAAACAGACATAAACAATCAACTTACGCGTACAACAGTTGACACTAAACCAGCTGTATGAATTAATTCTTCTTGTACTCCTGAATCTTTAGCCATAATATGTAATGCAGCAAGAGTTAATTCAAGCATATCTTCAAGATTGACACCTTCCATGTAACCACCACTTGATGAAATACGTTCACTAATACCACTATCTTGTTTCCCAGCGTCGTTCAGTGATGTATAAGCTTGTGAGAAAATATTCGCTATCATTCTATGTACATTTAAATTTCTTTTTACATAAAAAGAAGGTAAAAGGGATGAAAGGAGATGTGAATAACTTTCGCAAAAAAAAGGATTTTTAGAAAAATTTGTTGAAAATTACAATATATCAAAGAATACGAATTTCTTCAGCAATTCTAGTAAGACTGGCGGGCAGCGAAGACAGGACTCCAGGTGATGAACATACAGAGGATGGAGGTGATGAAAGTAACTGACCAACCGAACGACAGCGACAACAAAAACCAGCACCAATCATCATTAATGGGAGAGCTTTGAAAGAGATCACCTCCTTCACTTATCTAGGGAGCATCGTTTCAACCACAGGCACACGGCACCGATGTAGATATCAAAGCAGGCCAGAATCAGAAAGGCAAGATACGCACACCTTCATCAACCTGAAACCAGTTTGGAAATCTTCTGCTTCACTCCCTCAGCCAACATATAGAACAAGATTCGGATTGTGTTCAACACAAATGTGAAGTCAGTCAGTCAGTTCTTCTACACGGGTGTGTGTCACGGGAAGGATTTCCAAGAAGCTACAGAGATATTTAACAGTTACGTTCTCTGGCTCCATTCTGAAGATCATATGGCCAGCTACAAGCTACAGCCGATTGCTCAATAAATATATAAAGGAAAATGGAGATGGGTTGGTCGAACATACGTCGGCTGACGAGGACGTCGAATGATATCACGTCGTCGCTTGAGTGAGATCCCGATGGGAAGCGAAAAATGGGTCATCAGTGAGAGGGTGACATGGATGAGATTGTGTGGCGAGGAAGAAACGAGAGATTATGGCGAATCGTGGATCAAGCTGGAGAAGACAGCAGAGGATAGAAGAGGGTGGAGATGTGGTGCTGTTGAAGCCCTATGTTCCACTTGGAACCCAAGAGACTTATTATTATTATTATTGTAGTAAGATACGGCTAAAATTGAAATCAATATCTGGTGTTATTGTGTGAACTTGATAATTCTATTGGACAGTTTTCCGCCTCTAAAACCAATCCCATTAATACATATCACCATTAGTATTCCCTTGCATTCATAGAGATTCAGTAGTCCATGCTCTGTGCCGTCATCTTTTAACCGGCTCCACGACTGCCCTTAGGCTATCATTTGCGTCTGCTCACATGATCTCCTCCACGTCACCCTTGGACTCATATCCAACTCGTCGTTTCAAATTTGAGTTCCCCTCTATCCCATGATGTCTGTCGTTCGACGATCTCCATAGCCTATGTGTAGTCTATCTCCATTTCCTTCAGAGTATTTGCTGTACTCTAGGTTCTTAGTTGGTTCATTCACAGAGTTCCTCGTTGTTCATCCTGTCTGGTCGGCTATCTGATCGTCAGTATCGAGAGAAGCCAGCTATAGCCTGTTTAAAAGTGCTTTTTGTGACGCGTAAGGTTCCCATATCATAAAGAGCCACTTATTTGACTGACATTTCGATCATAGATGTCTACGATCTCTGTCTCACGTTAGGTGGTTTCACAAGATAAGTAATGTTGACGTTAGGCGTAGAGTGTTGGGCAAACAGGGAAAATCAATCGACGAGGTTATAAAGTTACATAGACTAAGATGGCTAGGTCACGTGGTGCGCATGCCTAACCATCGCCTCCCCTGACGGGCATTGTTAGCTGATATAGGTTCAGGTTGGAAAAGAGCCAGTGGTTGCCAAACAAAAACATGGCCTCATCAATCCATGAAATCCTTGACAGTTAAACTGAGTCGGTCAGGTAGGGAGATGCAGACTCCCGGGTTGGGGCCCTCGGGACTGACTCTAAGAATCAATGGCTGGAGACAATAGGTGACATGGCTCAAAATCGTTGTCAATGGCCAGCGGAGATGTATTCAATCTCTGTAATCTTTCATATTCCTTTCTACCATTACCCATTCTGTTTCACTCTTATACTTGTCAAACTCTATTGATTCTCTTCACTCATCTTCTTGTCTACCTCTGTGTGGTATTTGGAACGTGGCAACTCGAACTGGTGCACTTGGGTGCCAAGTTCTATGTTGAATCCAGACAGACAGACAGACATTTGTGTTGAAAATAGGAATCTTGTTCTTCAAGATACATGCAGCAGATATCTAGCTTTTCCAAACCTGGCTGGCTTTGAAATCCTCACCTATGCCTAATAAAGTTAAGACGATGCTGCCTAGATGAGTGAAATGATTGACTTCTTTCAAATAACTCCTGCTGTTGGCGTTTAGTGCTTTTTACTGTTGGTTATCAGTTAGGTATCTTCATCATCTCTGTCTTCTCAATGTTCACTTGAAGTCCTTTCTTTGCTGCATCTTCTACTAACTTGTTTGTCTTCGCTTGCAAATCTTCGACTTTGTATGTGACAGCAGATTTAAATCCCCCGAGAAATCCAGATCTTCTAGCATCTTCTTCTTGGTGTCTGTCTGTCTGTCTGGATTCAACATAGAACTTGGCACTGAAGTGCACCAGTTCGAGTTGCCACCTTCCAAATAGCACACAAAAGTAGACAAGAAGATGAGTGAAGAGAATCAACAGAGTTTGACAAGTATAAGACTGAAACAGAATGGGTAATGGTAGAAAGAAATATGAAAGATTACAGAGACTGAATACATCTCCGCTGGCCATTGACAACGATTTTGAGCCATGTCACCTATTGTCTCCAGCCATTGATTCTTAGAGTCAGTACCGAGGGCCCCAACCCGGAAGTCAACATCTCCCTACCTGACCGACTCAGTTTAACTGTCAAGGATTTCATGGATTGATGAGGCCATGTTTTTGTTTGGCCACCACTGGCTCTTTTCCAACATGCACCTATCTATATCAGCTAGTAATGCCCGTCAGGGGAGGCGATGGTTAGGCATGCGAGGCACCTGACCTAGCTATCTCAATCTATGTAACTTTATAGCCTCGTCGATTGGTTTTCCCTCTTCGCCCAACACTCTACGCCTAACGTCAACATTACTTACCTCATTAAACCACCTAACGTGAGACAGAGATCGCAGACATCTATGATCCAAAGCAGTCAACCTTTTCATGTCTTCAACTCGTATTGACCATGTTTCAGAGCCATAGAGAAGGACGAAGCGAACTGGTGAGCAGTATACACGTCGCTTGGTTGATAGCCGGATGTCACGCCTACGCCAGAGATGGTGTAACGTATGAACATCTCGCTTCTCACGATCTATTACATAACCCAGTCTACTACATCCAAGAACAACATCGGTGATAATAGCCAGTCTTATCATACTTCTGTCTTGACTTTAAAGTCTTCACTGAGATTTTCCGATGGAAGTCACTAGGCATGTGTCATCAACATCATATAGCTGTTGGATGAGGCTGATAAAGATTTACGGTACTCCGTAGTGTTGAAGCAGTTTCAAAAATTACTTCGCGGTCAACGATGTCAAGGAGTGCCTTTTTTTAAAAACTCGATGAAGTTAAGGTATAGGTTCGCTTGCCATTCTGTGTTCTGTTTTATGTGGGTAAGAAACGTATATATTTATTATATATGATGTACATTTGTCTAATAAAGTCGCTTTTTGAATGATACCATCATTGTTTATTTCGTTGGTTTCTCATCAGCTACTGCTTACAGGCCAAAGACATTATTAAGTATGTCTACAGAAACAATTTTAACATACTTGAACAGAGTTCATTTTAGACAAAAATCAATCGATCAACATATGCATACAATAATAATATCTATAATAATAATAATAATAATAAACACTGTATCCCGAACAATAATGATTAGAAACAATGGAAACTTTCAGCATTACGTAATCAGATGAAAGAGACGAAAGTATCCAGTTACCAGGGCAAAGAAAGACTGACAACCGCTTCTTTCTAGACGCATAAATCAGGTTTCAGGCGCTTGATGGAAGTGGCTTCAGCAAAATTGGGAAGAATTGAACTCTTTTACCTACTGATAATTTTTAGCTATCTTGCGACGTCCATGACCTGTGTCAAAGAGAGGTCTGGCGATGATACTGTTGAAAGCATTTGTTCCCTTTAGACATAAGCTCTTTGGTACATGTTCAAAAAATGCCCTTCTTTCTGTTCTTCCAACATAATTGCTCCTGTGGATAATTGTAAATTTGTTTACACAATTGGAGTTAACATGAGAAGGATATCTATCGATTTTTGATTGCACCGAAGAGCAAATTGTGTCGTTAGACAGGAACCAGCTTAGCTGTAGGATAGGCTATGCCTAGTGACGTCTTTAATCTTCTATCGATCATTGCTTCAATGTTTTCACCTTTAAAATCAAGCTGAATGTACATTGGCTTTTTACCCACTGTGATTTGATTGATATCTGAGCCTTCAGATCTTCCGTACTTGTTAATGAACTTTTGAGAGTAACCATTGCTTTTTACCATCCTTTCGAGAAACACACATTCTTCCTCTAATTTCTCTATAGAGCACATTCTGCTCGCTCTATAGTACAGTCTTGACTAAACCGCGTTTAAAGCTTTCTGGACAAAAGCTATTAAAATGTAAGTATTGTCCTTTCCATATAGGCTTTCGATAAATTGACTTTTGAAGACTACCGTCTTCTAGGCGTTTCATGGCACTGTCGAGGAAGTGAAACTTTCCGTCACTTTCATGTTCCATAGTGAACTCACTATTGGCGTGTGCATCATTGAATAATCTGAGTAAGTGTGAAGCATGACATTGATTTGTTGCACACTACAAATGTGTCATCTGTGACATATCAACGACAATAAGAAGTTGTTTCATCGATTGCATGATTCAACTTTGTTCTTTCAAGGTTGGACATGAATATATCTGCTAAAACTGGGCTAAGTGAACTGCCCAAAGCACACAAACATATTACTACTTACACAAAACTATAGAAGTATATAATATTAGTAATAAAACAAGTATGACTCACTTCAATTCATGACGTGTCATTTCATCAGTGGACAAATTTCTGACTAGGCCAACAACTGATTTCAACAGGGGTAAAGCTGATACGAATTGATACTTGACAAATAATGAAGCTATGGTTGGCAATGTATCATTGATACGTATCTAAGGGAAATACGGGGAGGGAAAAAGAAAAGACTCAATGTCACTCAAATGAAGAAGGCGTACAGCGATTGTTAATTCGTTAAAAATCAGTGAAGCGAAAATATTCATTCAGACATGTATAATACATAAAATAATTGAGCAAAGAATATTCTTTTCGATAATTTCCTCCTCTTCTCGCTCTACAATTATATATATATATATATATATTTATATATACATATATATATATATATACAATTGGTGGATGGTGGCTAGCAGTAAAATCCAGGATGCGTATTTCGTCCTAATTGGGACTCGTCAGCTGGATGTACCTGAATTTCTCAGTGAGTGATGATGTTCCCAACGAGGCTCGAACCCAGTGCCCATAGTTTCAAACGCCAAATTCAATTCAATAATAATTATATATATATATATATATATATATATATATATATATATATATATATATATATATATGTTTATGTTTATATACATAGAATATTCTAGAATAGTAGTCAATAACAATAGTGGTGTTTTTTAATTCATATCAATTTTTGAAGTAAGATCATAATGGAATTACCACAGTTCATTAGAGATGCTCAAATAATAATAATAATAATAATAATAGCAAAGATATAGTAGCAAACAGAATATCAACTAAAATTAGGAAAATTCCAAAAAAATCTAGGATCATTCAAACTTAGAAGGCCAGGGTAAGGATAATGTCTGAACTAACTGATATGTATCCACATGATATGTGTTTTGTTTTTGACAGTCTGTTATATTTTGCGATGTGTATATGGATCGATATTTCATTATAACTGACAATATGCTTTTTTCTGTCCACTAACTAAATAAACAATGTATGACCTTGTTGTCACATGACATTACAACCAATCATGTTAAGACTGTCTATTTATTGGTTCATGTGTATTAGTCATTTTCATATATACTTTTATACTATACACTTGTTCCCACGATTTCGTATACTACGTACCATTTCACTCACACTCTTGTGTGACATTTATTTTCCTTGTCTGGAAAATACAAGTATCATCGTAAACCTGGTGGTCTTCTGATTTCCCTCTTTCCGCGTTAGGTCTATTAACTACTCGACGAGTACATAAAACTAACTTCTTTTGGATGCACAAATTAGACTTCTTAATGTGGATCCCAACAACCAGCTTCAGCAATATTTAGTAATCGAACTCTTCAGGCGAAGTTAAAATTCGTTGGTATGCGGTAAATGACTTGGAAAGTCGCCTCGTTAACATCAAACTTGTGTTCTGTATCCACAAGGTGAAATAGAAAAGTGCTACGAATAGATTTTGTTTGTCCTTTACTTAACCACGCAGAGTGATGTTAAAATTCCGATGAGAAACACGCCTAATTGTTACGGCATATGCAAATAACTGGCCCACTACACAGGAGCAGTTGAATTGGCAGATCCACATGGAAGAGGCGAAATTAGGCAGTTTGTCTTTTTCTTCCGAACGCAAAAGACGAGTGGTTTTGAAGACACGGCGTAATTCGGCAGCAGAGAATGCTCTTTTTACCGCATTTTTAAGGCGCTGCGTTAGTATCTCGCTGATGTTGTCCCCAAGGAACTGCATTTGTAAGAATAAGGCCTTTTTAGGAATTGTTGGTAACTTGGTCTGCCTTGATTTTAGATTTATATTCTTATCAATAAACTTTTCTGGATAACCGTTCTTATCCATCAACCGTTTAATATTTATAGGTTCCTCATCAGGACATTCATTCGAGCAGATTGCTCTTGCTCTGTGAACCAAGCACTTTATGAGATTGCATTTGTATTTCAGTGGTACGAAGCTGAACAAATGAGGATACTAACTAGTTGATGTAGGTTTTCTATGTACACTTCTTCTTATTGTGCCATCCTCTTTTCTGGTCATAAAGACGTCTAGAAGTGAAATACTAGAGTCTTTTTCTTTATCAATGGTAAAATTTATTGCAGGTTTTAGTTGCACTCGGTTGTGATTGGTAGTTAGGCAGTTCGTGTGATTTGCCAATTATTTTTGTGTGTGAACACCCACCAATTAGGTTGTATCTATCATTCTGTCTCTTTATATACATGGCGTCGGTGGCATAGTCTCGTTAGGACTCTCGCCGACCATGCACATGGTTCAGGGTTCGAGCCCACGCCGACGCACACCTGATATCTATGATCGGCCTGCGAATTTTGGGCTACCGATATCCACGCTGAAAATTCCATACTTGTACCAAAAATACAGTGTGGAATCAAGCTGTTATCAAAAATAAAAAATAATAAAAAAAATCTAAACTTCATGAATGATTTATGTTTAGTGTTACACAAACTCGAAGAGACCAACACGTGATAAAACCAACAAACTTGTAGAAGAAGCAGGATATCAAGACAGAACTTCAAGTAATGAACATAGAGAAGACAGATGTGATGAAGAGAGATACCTAAGGCATAACAACAAACCCCAGTCAATGTAAACGGGAGACATTTGAAGAAAGTCACTTCTCATGGCAGTATCGTTTCAAATACAACTGATGACACAGATGATGATGATATCAAAACCAAGAGCAGAAAGGAAAGACGAACCTTCGTCATGTGACAGGATAGGCATTCGGAGAAGAGTTACTCTTTACGGCGGTATCATTTTCAAGCTGTATTGTCGTATATATTTCCAAGGATGTGTGTCATTAGATTTGTAAATTTTAGTTAACAAATTTTTTTAATTGGTTAGAAACTAAAATAAGATTAAAAAATAACCAATTTGAGTGACGTAACCAAATTGACATGGTTGAGTAGAGCTCAACTAAAATTAAAATTAAACGAAAGTCAAGTTAACAATATTGGTATCTATCTACCAGGTACCCGATATCTTCCAATTCAAATGCGCTTGTTGTGGAGCGATTTATATTGGTCGGTGCTCAAGGAACTTGATTTTGCGTGCCCGCTCGGGAACATCTCCTCTAATATGGTTAAGTAAAGGTGCAGTAAAAGCCATCAACAGTTCGATATTAGACCAGCTGGTTCAAACCGGCCACAAAGTAGGCTATAACATTGAAGAATCATTCTCTATCATCTATCGGGTACCAAATAAGTTGCCGAAAACATCCGGGTCCCGTATACTTCAAAAAAGCAGGGGCTATTTCAATTCGCCTCAAACAACCAGTGCTCTGTGTTCAAAAGAAGCACGTCCAGCCCCTAATACTGCCTTGGCCTTCAGTAGAGACTATAAATTCATCTCTCTTAATTTTTCTGACATTCAGTTTATTGTAATGTTGATGCTATTGAGCTGTAATCTATCAATGTGATTATTGATTCAATGTTATTTAAACAGTATTAATGGTGTTCATAACACTAATTCATTCATTCATTCATTCACTATTATGGATGGATATATAACTGCAGAACATGATGATGAAGAGCAGGTTATCGTAAATGTGAATATTCTTTGTTCAGTAACCATTCTTTGAAATTAATAAATACTTACTTCATAAACTGCTGCATTTGCATGAGGATTACGATGAGTTACATGTCTTAAAGCGGAACAAATTGGTTCAGCAATTTCTTGACGATCAGGATTTAAGCATAACAGTCTACACAAGACTTTTACACCACCTGTAGGCGGAAAAGGTGGAGAAAAAAAGGATAGAAAAGGACTGTATAAAATGAAGTAGGAAGATATCATGATCAATGAGAATCCGATTACAAAGTGTCTATCATATACGTTGGAGATTATGACACCACGTAACACGGGATGTAGACTGAACACGCAGACACCTATGATCAAAGACAGCTAGCTAGGCAACCTTTCATGTTTTCCCCTTTCAGTGGTCATGTCTCATTTGCAACCATAAAAGAGGACGGAGAGAACGAACTGTTGCTGTTCAGTACACACGTCTTCTGATCGACAGTCAGCTGGATGTCACTTTTACGCCAGAGATGGTGTAATTTGTCGGCAAATGCAGAACGAGCTTTCTGTATCCGTGTTGAGATTTTCATCAGCGATCAACCCGCTGATGGGGCTAGTTGACACCAATTCCAAAGGAAGTGAAGTAGTTAACACGCTGAGCCACCACTTTACCCCCGACTATCTTTAAGCTAAGAATGAGTGGATGTAGTACAGTCCTGTAGCAAGCATCATCTTACATTTGACGAGAGCGACTCACATGCCAAATATTCGGAGATTGCTGACTAATATAGTACTTTTCATAACTGATTCAATTTATTTTGCAAATAGCGTTTAGGGTGGGTCTTTCAGTCTGCACATTATTGCATCAAGTGATTGTGTTTGCTTGCATACAATATCGATTCCGAATGGTTTCCCAGTATTCTAGCCTCTATTTGATCATATTAGATGGTTGGGAGCTATCGGCAGGAAGTCTTCGACACCATCTATCTAGGTTTCGTGCTAGTTGCCAATCACCAGTCAGTAAGGCGTATCTGCGATCCTGAAGGCAATCAGATCACTCCAACGATTTAAACCCACAGTTCGAGACGTTATCACTGAGCTGTTCGGGTTCGCAATTGACCTTCTGTAGGACTATTTTAGCCCTTATTTCAGAAATATTCTTGTGGCTTTAGAGGGATGGTCCGTGACGCATAGTTTTATCCAAATATAGATATTTTTTGGATAAATCTGAGAAATTATCCTTTTTTTCTACAAAACAGTCAGCAAGATATTACCCTTCTTCAAGTGTTGGTTTGTAGGGATTTGATTGGTTTCAGGATTTCATCATGAGCTGACATTAGTTAAGGAACCATTGGAAAACCTGGGAGTACTGGACAGCTGTTTCGTCCTAGTTTGGGACTCTTCAGCAGTGCGTACCCACCGCGATTCGAACCCAGGACCTTCCGGTTACAAGGTGAGCTCGTATACCATTAAGCCACTGGGACCCGATCCAATGGCCCCTTCTATTCTCCTTTAGACAGGAGTTCCATATTATGTGTCTTGGTCAAATTCCACATCAGTCAAGCGATCAGTAACAATATCGAATTAACACAAAGAGAATAAAAGCCTCTGAGGACAACTAATCACAGTTAAGGTCATCAGCAGAGACTGTCTTTTCAGAAGACTTTATGCACGTACGTCTAGGTATAAAAAAAATCCACTTTGCCATATTTAGCACGTACTTTATGTGATGAAAATAGTGTTAGGCAGGAATTAATTAACCTTCTTTGCACTACTAAATAAACCATTTCTTCCACCCTTACAGTACCAAACTTTATTGTTATTGTACTTCTTATATTTATAATCCTCTCAATTTTTTTGTTTTTATTTATTTATTTTTCATAAGTGTGAACATCATTGAAGCTGTGTTATATAACTGTTAATTTTGTATTTCCCCTCACCATGCTGCTTTATCAACAGAACAGTAGATCCGATGATCTATAACATGCTAAAATTTCCAAACTGAATCGCCAATACTGTTTGAAAGAAACTCACTGTTATTATCATTATTATTATTATTATTATTATTATTATTATATTAAGCATTCTCAATTCGTGCTTCGAATATTTTTGACTTTATATCGTCAACGTGGACAAATTCCTCTGGTTACTTTTGTTTTAATTTTTAATTTTATTTATATTTTAAGTAAATCAGATGCAAGATGTTGTGACAAATGCTGAGAATTCCATTCTGTATTATAAGTACTGTCTGTTTTGGAATAAAGTAGATTGTTATTATTATTATTATTATTATTATCATTATTACTTACTACACACTGACGTACGGGTCAACTTAAAGGATAGCAGCAGCCTAAGGGGAGGCAGTGGGAGGAATGCGCCGATAACCTTGAATCTCACAAGAGGATCAAGTAAGTGAAACCACGTGTAAGACAAAGCATGACTAGGTCAGGGAAAGATTAACGGGTTAGGACTGAGTAAGTGACTCAAATTTGCCATTTGACACCGACTGGTAATTTCAACGTAACTGGTACTCCTCCTCTGGTTTCCTTCAAGCGTCATTTTCTAACTTTGCCAATGTTCGCACTGAAGCTGCACAATTAAAGCATCCTGGTTAAAGAACACAACTACACCAATGATTAACGAAAACAAAAATGATAATATTACTAATAAACTTACCCTTTTCAACAAGTAAACTTTTATTCTGAACATTTTGACAGGTTAAATTACACAGACAACCAGTAGAACAAATTGATATATGCTCATTTTTACTGGCTAGCAAAGTGATTAACATTGGTATCAAATTTTTTGTCGCCAATAAATGATAAGCTTGATCACTGATATTACGTAATCCCCAAAGTGTTTCCAGCTGTAGTACTTCACTTGAACAATTTAACAGTGGAGTTAACGCCTAAAAATTTAACGAATATGTATATATTGATTTTTGTAGGAATATTGATTGAGTGGTTGTAGGATTTCATCATGTGCTAAAATCAGTTAGAGAACCACTGGAAAACCAGCTGGGAGTACTGGACAACTGTTCCGTCCTTGTTGTCTGGGACTCTTTATCAGCACACACCCTCACCAGGATTCGAACTCAGGACCTTCTGGTTATAAGGGTAGCTAGCTTGTATATCATTAAGCCACTGGGACCCGGTCCATTGGGTAACCCATATATTCCAACTTCTGTCAGTTCATGACATAGTGCGATGACTTCACATTGTCTACGAACTCCCGTGGGTGCGTAATACTGAAGAGTCCCAAACTAGACTGACGAAACAGCTGTCCAGTACTCCCAGCTTGTTTTCCAATGGTTCTCTAACTGATGTCAGCTCATGATGAAGCCCCCAGCGAATATATACATGTATATACTGTGTGTAAACGTTACAACCAAAATAAACCTGGTGTAAGCTTAGAATAATTTGAGAATTGTTGTGATAGTAGTATAAAGGCAGAAGATTCGGGAATTGATAACGGACTTTTTATACATTTTTAACCACATTAAAACTGAACTAGGTCAGTTAAAAATACTCTTCTGATTGGTTGGTGATTGACCCAAGGTTAAAACAATGAGACGAAAAGTTGTCCAATAAGATTATTTTCTTGACCACAACGTGTAAACTGCTAACTCTCTGCTGCCATAGGTAGGCGGAACTGACAAGGATATCATCAAAGCGAAGATCGTGAAAGCAAGGCAAGCTTTCATTACTCTCGTGTCTGTGTGGAGATCAACAGCACTACCCAGCATGAAAAATAAGATCCGGATTTTCAACTCCAGAGTGAAGTCAGTGCTACACTGCACGGATCAGAGACTTGCAGCCGCATCACGAAGGCCACTTCGAACAAACTACAGACCTTCATCAACAGCTGTCTTCGCTCAATACTACTCAAGATCAGATGGCTGATCAGTTAAGATCAGCAACAGGAATTTCTGGAAATGAACGAACCATCCCACCAGGAGCCAATTGTGGAACAGATAAGCAGGAAGAAATGGAGGTGGATTGGCCATACTCTGAGAAAACAAACCACCAATTGACATCATACGACAGTCCATTGCTCGACTGGAACCCAAGCGAATGGGAAGTGGTGCGTAAGTTGGTCGTCAGTGAGAGGTTGACATAGACGTGGTCATGCGTAAAGGCGATGAAAGTATGTGGGCAGACGTGAAGCCAGGTGAGAACATTGGCGGGGAACTGAACGTGCAATGGAAACGTGTGTCTGAAGCCCTATGTTCCTCTAGGAATTAAAGGAAACAGTAATAATAATAATGACCTCTGTAGCCAGCTATTCACTTAAGACATTGATCTCAATTTTGACCCCTTTCTACCGATCCGTATACCTATACTACTTATAGGTCTTGTCAGTAACACACGGCATGATAGAACATAACTCTGTATTAGATAAGTGCATTTTATATAACTTACAGTGTGATATAGTAAGTATTAATAAAAGTGGACGACTTTTTGAGTACGCTTTATTAGCGCTTACCAATGTATTCACAGGATTTAATAGCTTGCTAGTTTTTTATTGCTCCTTTTCAACTATCCGTCGTAGATGTTGGGTTATTTCCATTGCACTTGTTCGCTTTTGATTCGATGAACAAAGATTCAGTGATCATTCCTTCTGCTTCTCTGCCTAACTATATTACTTTTTAATGCATTCCCCACTGTCCCATCTTATTCCTAAGTATGCGGACGATCTAACTGTTTCAATGCCTGTTAACTTCCAGTTAGACTGTAACTAGGTGGAACAGCTTACTGTTAGGAGTCAGAAAATGGTCTTTGTCTAATGGTCGGTCTTAAACTAAATCTTTCCAAATGCCAGACTGTTAATTTCAGTTTCTGATGTAAAAGAAAGTTAAATGACGAAGCTGTTGGTTACTATGACCGTTGCAAAATTGATGATAGTGAAATAGAAATCAAGTCTGACATTAAGCAGGTTGGATTAATTCTTTCTTCTGACCTAACCTAGTCTTCCCATGTCTTAGCGATTTCTAAGAGAATATTTCATCTGACTTTTTACATTAAGAAGTTAAGGCACTCAGGTATAACTTAACCAACCCCTCCTCCTCTTACAGTTTGTCAACTCGTGCATCTTACCTATCCTTCACCCTTATTTTTTCCTGTACTGCTTAAAAAAGACTAAGCCACACTTCGTAGAACTCTGAAGACTGACAGTAGGGCGAGTAGTGGTATCCCATTGGGTCATATCGTTGGCATCATCACTGATAGTCACTAGATTTCATGCATAAAATTTGCTAAAGGAATTTGGTCAGACTGTGAGCATCCATTTTACCAGTAACAAAAAGTTATTTCAAAATACTTTATGCGCGCAAATTTCCACCATACCATATTTGGCATGCACTTTATGTGATGAAAAATAGTGTCAGGGAAGAAATAATTAGCTAACCTTCTTTCCACTAGTAAATGAAAAACATTTTCTCCATCATTATTCCATCAAGCTTTACTGTCACTTTTTTCTTGTATTCATAATCCTTTCATCATTTTTTTGGTTTATTTCTTCATAAGTGTAAACATAACTTAAGCTCTGCAATAAGTGTTAGTAGTAATAGTAGTGATTGACAATAGTATATCATGTGTCAGAGGATTACTCCATCTGTAACGCGGTATCCCATCTTTTACGATATTTTGTCCTTCAAATCTATCGAGAAATGAACACTATCATTATTATGATTCTATTGGGTTTCGAGTGGGAAATAGGGCTTCAACAACACATCTCCACTTCCTTCTAATCTCTGTTGTCCACTTCAAATGGCTCCACGATTGACTATAATCTCTTATCTCCTCCTCCGCCTCCATGTAACCCTTCACTGACGACCCCGACTTGTCGCTTCCCATTCTGATTCTATTCGAGCGATGGCCAGGCAATGGTGCGGTATCATTCTACAGCCGCCACGATGTATGTCTAATCAATCCATCTCCATTCTCTCCTATATATAATTTTTGAACAATCGTCTCTTGCTTGTTAGCTTGTTGCCACTCAGAGTTTATTGTTGTTAGTTCTTTCAACTGGTCAGCCATTCTGTCTGTCTGTCTCTGTCTGTTTTCGACATAGAACTTTGCACAAATGTGCGGAAGTTCAAGTCGCCACACTCCGTGTAGCACGCGAAGCAAGAGAAGAAAGTACAAGAAAAGCATAATAGAAACAGTGAGCAGAGGGGTGAGACAAAGGAGTAATAAAGAAAAACAAAACAGTTTCATTGGAGATAAGTCACAAGGAGTGGGTGCATCTGCGCCACTGAGAACGATTTTGAGCCATGTCACCAATTGTTTCCAACCATAGATTTTTACCATCCCGAGGACCCCAGCTTGGAAGTCAACACCTTCCTACGTGGCTTAGACTAACTGTTGTAGATTTCATTGACTGGTGCCGAGTTTTTGTTTGACCGCCGCTAGCTTTTTTCCAGCCTGACCCTATATCCGCCAACATTGCTCGTCGAGGGAGGCGATGACCAGGCATACGTAACACATGTCCTAACCATCTCAGTCTTTGTAACTTCACGACTTCGTCGATTGATTTCCCCTCTTTACCTAGCACTCTACGCCTAACCTCAATGTTGCTCACCTTATTATGCCAATTTACACGGGAAATAGAGCGCAGGCACCTATGATCAAAGACAGCTAGTCTTTTCATGTCTTCCACTCTCAGTGGCCAGTTCTCACAACCATAAAGGAGGACGGAGCGGACTGATGAGCAGTACACCCGCCCTTTGTTCGATAGCCAGCCGGATATCTCGTCTACGCCAGAGTCGGCGTAAACTGGCAAATGCGAAACGAGCCCCCTGTATTCGTGCTGAGATTTCGTCAGAGATCAACCCGTTGTCACTGGCTGATGGTACTTCCCAAATAAGTGAAGCGGTTAACGTGCTCGACCACTTCACTTCCTATTTTTAAACTAGGCGTCGATGTAGTCCAGTCCTGTAACATCATCTTGCATTTGGCGGGAGCGAATCGCATGCCAAACATTCGTAGATTGCGGCTCAAGGTGTTTAGAAGACTCTGCATTTCGTCAGCGTCTTCGCCTAGAAGGACTATATCGTCTGCATATTCCAAGTCAACGAGATTATTCCCTGGTAGCAAGTCAATCCCTGAATCGCTGAAGTCACCTAGGGTTAAGTCCATTAACACATCTATGATGAAGTTGAATAGAAAAGGAGATAATGGGCATCCTTGACGGACACCACTGGTCGTCACCAGTTCAGATGACAGCTCGCCGTCAGCCCTCACCTGGCTGTATGAGTACGAGTAGAGTGCCTTAATCATTTCAATATATTTTCTTGGAATTCCCTTCACAGCCAAGCATCTCCAGAGAACTTCTCGATCGACAGAGTCGAATGCTGCCTTTAGGTCAAGAAATATAATGACTGTTGGACGCCGGTAGGAATGCCTATGTTCTAGAATCTGTCGGAGGGTGAAGATATGATCAATACACCCTCTTCCTGGTCTAAAGCCTGCCTGGTCAGCCATTCGGTCTTCAGTATGCAGCCAGCCAGCAAAGTGGGCAACTGTTGATAAAAGTTTGCATTATTGGCTGTTGGAAATGCTCTTCGTGACACACACACACACACGCAGTGCAAGTTTCTGACCCGGTATAGAAGCAATGACTAACTGACTATCTTCACATTTGTGTTGAACAGAATCCAAATCTTCTTCTTTATGATGGCTGAGTGGGTGGATTGCAGAAGATTTCATAACTGGTTGCAGGGTTGATGAAGGTGTGTGTCTCGCCTCCTTTCCGATTTTGGCTGGCTAACTTTGACATATTCATCCGTGATATCTGCCCATGGTTGAAACTGGTGTTTCCTGGCTGGATAAACAAAGGAAGTAACCTCTGTCGAATCTCTCTGCGCATTGATGGTGATTCGTGCTGGTTGTTGTTGTTGATTGATTGGTTATCTTCATCACCTCTAATCTTCTCTACGTTCACCACCTGGAGTCCTGTCTCTTCGCTGGCTGCTTCTTCTGGCTTTTTTTGTGTAACATTAAACATAAATCACCCAAGCGTGAGTTCAAGATCTTCTAGAGTCATCTTATAGATGTGTCCAACGTATTCCTGTCTTCTCACTGCCTGTGCACAGTCTGTCGCACAATCCAGTCGACCATAATACTCAGGAATATCATCAGTGGTAATAGGCAACTCCTATGTTCACTTCAAGATCAGGCTTCTCTGAGTTTTCTGTTGTGGATCACCTAACCACGTGGCAGGTATTGTTAAATAGCCAGCTGTTGAGTGAGGTTGATACAGACTTGGAGCACTACAATCCATATTTTTTATTTTCATTTTATTTATTTTATTTTTGATTACAGCTTGATTCCACACTGTATTTTTGGTACAAGTGTGGAATTTTCAGCGTGGATATCGGTAGCCCTAAATTCGCAGGCCGACCATTAATTCAATCAAAGGAGACTAATTCTCTTAGATAAAGCAATAAGAGGACGTAATTTGTTCGAACCGTGTAATGTGTATTTGCGCAACACATTTCGAACAATCTGATCCAGCACACACGAACTTTTCATATGCATGTGATTATATGAAATTAATAAAGAGGTAAGAGGTGAGAAAATAGACTTGGGTCAAGTTAAATGGTCATATTCAAAGTCAAAATAGCAATGAAGACCACTAAACCAAATAACAGAGGTAATAGTACATCTGCTACGATATCAAAACAAAATTTACCAAGTAAAGTTTAATGTGATGACGGATTGTTTTTGAACGCATAAAGGTGGTTTAAACTGTCTAATTGCTAGGGCCTCACAAACTTCAGGATACGCTCCAATCACGTTTTTATAGATAGGTTTAAAAGATCTGTTAACGTCAATTTTATGTCCTGTCTCCTCTGTAGTATGTTTCGCAATAGAAGAGCTAAGTCTCCTGTTCTCACCGTTAATAGGTTCTGAAGATTCCATTTGTTTTTGGAGTCATTTAGGAATATGCTCTGAAGCCAGAACTTACTTGCAGAGATCGATGAGTCCTCCCTATGTGTGTCCGCACGTACATTCAAATTGGCAAATACATTAGAATGTGACATCATTTTTCGCATGTTCATAGGGCTTACATAGATATATTGGCTTTATATTCTCAATTATTATGATATTAGCTGCATAAAATATCTTTTTAAATACAACAGCGTTCACTCTTTGTCTAGTTATCAAGGTGTTATGATCACCCATATAGGGTAGCTTGATGTACACGTCTTTCTTAGGGGCGAGTTGGAGAGTGGGTCTTGTTGTTCCACTGACTACTTTATATCTTCTGATGAACTTGTCTGGATAATTGTTATCAACCAGAGTTTGTGTCAACTTTCTTCCTTCTTCATCAAGTGTGTCTTCAGGTCATATTCGTTGGATTCTGCTGAAGAGGCACCTTACTTTATGGTTCTGTAAAGCAGAAACTACTGACGGGAAATAATCGTATTTAGCTTCTCATTTGTGAGATATCTACTGAGTTTAATGTCGTCATACTTGGTCACATTACACACCTAACAATCAAGAAAACAGTTACAATTCTCACAAAGACAAACGACACCAACAACAATAATACTCATCAATCGATCAAATATAACTAACTCACAGGATTTCATCATGAGCTGATATCGGTTAGAGAGAACGATTGAAAAGCCAACTGGGACTAAAGAAACAGTCAACCGTTTCCCCATTTCTGGCTTGAGACTCACCGGGTGTAGGCGGGGGGGGGGGGTTACAACCCACGATTGTAGACTATTCAGCCACTGGGACCCTATATAGCGTAATTGGCACTATCCATCCAGTAGTTCTCCCGCTAACCGATATCAACTCATAATGAAATCTACTTGTAAACCAACACTCGAATAACTAAATAACTAACTAACTAACTGACTTACTTCTACAGCACCAGCTTCAACCAACTTGATTTTATTCTCATTGCATACACTTAACACCTTGATTAATCTAGCTATATTATACGCAATTTTCATATTGTTAGGATATATTCTCAGCAAGCGTACAATAATTTCATAAATTCGTGTTGATGTTAACGCCAGCTTCGTCTCACTACTTTCATATACAGCCATACGTAGAGTATCCAGACAGATGAGTAACCAATTAGAATCTTTTAAACTGTTTGTCTCTAGTAAATAAATTACATTCAAGTGTCCATTATATTGTCGAAATTCTGGTCGAGAAGAATTAGGTAAATGCCATAATAGTTGATTCAATACATATAAAGCTGTTGTATACATCACTTCAGATGGATGCCTTGAAATTGTAAAACAAGAGAGGAAAGACAAAAAAAGTGTCAGTGGGTGGTTGTTGTACGACAATGAAATAAATTACTGAGTTCTACACAACATACGTGTGTATGTACGTACTTACAAGACCATGTGTTTTGGCCAAGTTTATTACTAATACAGCAAAAATACTCATTATGAGGACTTCATCATGAGGCAGTAACTCATCGAAGAAGACATTGCGAAGTTGTCGGACTTTGTCATGGATTGGCAGAAGTTGGAATTCACGAGTTGGCCATCGGATCGGGTCCCAGTGGCTAATGAATGGTCTACAAGCTCTCTAGCCTTGTAACCAGGTCTTGGGTTCGAACTGATGAAGAGTCCTAAAGTAGGACGAAACAGCTGTCCAGTACTCCCAGGTTTTCCAGTGGTTCTCTAACTGATGTCAGCTCATCATGAAATCCTCCAACCAAATAATATTGATTTGTCAAGTAAGATCAGTAGAATTACAGTTCACGAAAGAAGCATAAATTATAATGAGCATACAAATATAATAGTAAATAGAATATAAAATAACATTAAAACAAATAATAAAGGTTAATAAAGCAGGATTTAATGAATTCATCAAATTTCGGTAGAACTCCACATACACGGATATATATACTTTTGAAATTACATTGAGAGATATATAAGACTGATAAGTAAACAAACTACATTGAATTAGTCATGCAGAAAGACAGGTGAGAATGTTTCTCAGGTCATGTTCAAATAGATAAGGCGAGAGAGAGTATGAGAGATCAAAATTAAGATAAAATGCATTACACTTCAATTACATCACTTAGATAAACAATTAGTCATTAGATAATGTAACAAGAATTGCAAACAGAGTAATATCAATAGTAATAGTTATAGTTATAATGACAATAACAATAATAAGAGTGTTGAAGTGAGTTAAGATAATCCTACTGATAAAGGATAGTTTCAAATGAATCGAGAATAATAATAATAAGAGGTAGAATAATAAGTAAAACGTATTACCGTGGTAGATTTAGAATCACAACCATCTCCTTTTGTAAACAGAGATCTGGTTTATAAACTCGAATTTCACTAGCCTATCCAAATGCAAGCATCTTCTTGTTTCTTTGTTTGCTGGCGATGGTGAATGACTTGACAGCGTTGACATCATGTCCACAGTCCACAAGATGCTTTGCTATTGAGGATTTTGGCACTTTGCACTCAGCTGTTTTCAACCATTTTGGCATATGCTCCATCATTAGGGAAATTTCCACAACCAGTAAAGGATAATTAAATCCTTGATGACCAAGGTAGGGACACTGTCTGAACCAGCTTCTTTTGGACAAATAAGTTAGGTTTCTTAGTGTAGATCATAACGGCCTCCATAATATGTAGTGGACGAACTCTTAAGGCGAAGTTAAGATTAGTTGGTAAGCGGTAAATGACTTTGAATGCTCCTGTGGAGTGAGCCAGTTACTTGCATAGGCCGTACAATTAGGTGTGTTCCTCGTCGGATTTCCGAACATCACCCTGCGAAGTGGTGAAGTAGGCGACAAACAAAATCCATCCATAACGCTACTCTATCTCATCTTGTGGGTACAGAACACAAAACTGATGTTAACAATGTGACTTTCAAAGTCATCTACCACATACCAACTAATCTTAAATTCGCCGTAACTGTCTAGTACTCCCAGGTATCCCAATGGTCCTCTAACCAATGTCACCTCATGATGAAATCCTGTAACCAATCAATCGAATCCTCAAAAACCAACACTTGAATATCTATAAGATGCTCACTAGCGACTTGCTTCATTCAGGTAGGTAGTTACCTGGGGTTTTCGTTTGAAGTCGTGATCAGTAGGGTGCAGCAGGTCGGATGTAAGGACAAATACTCGCTGAAGACATTGGCTAACGGTTGCTCTATCTCGTGAATTGGGAGAAGTTAAAATTCATGGACTGGCCATCGGATAGAGTTCCAGTGGCTGACGAATGGTCTACAAGCCCGCCAGCCTTGTAACCAGAAGGCCCTTGGTTCGAACCTCGGTGGGGCAGGTGCGTACTGATGAAGAGTCTCAAATTAGGACGAAACAGCTGTCCAGTAATTCCAGGTGGGTTTTCCAATGGTTCTCTAACCAATGTCAGTTCACGATGAAATCTTGAAACTAATCTTAACTTCACCGTTGGGATCCACGTCAAGAAATGTAACTTATGTGTCCAAAAGGGGAAGCTGGTTCAGACACTATCCTTACCTTGGCCATCAAGGTTAATAGTGATGCTTAATTGGTTGTGGAAATTTCCTTAATTTTATTCGATATTCTATTTACTGTTATATTTATATGCTTATTATAATTTATGCATCTTTAGTGAACTGTAGTTGCATTGCGATCTTACTTGATAAATCGATAGTATTTAAAAAGCACACCAGTAGTGTTAATGACGATTGTTCTAGAATAATCTTCTGTGTGTGCACTGCTGAAAAGACACACAAAACAACAAACGAAATAGTTGTCTAATGTTCCCTAATTTTCAATGATTCTCACGCCATTGTGCATCGGTGGCAAAGTAGTTAGGACTCTCACCGGCTATGCACATGGTCCGAGGTTCAATCCCCAACCGACGCACACCTGATATCATCAATGGTCGGCCTGCTAAATTTAGGCTACCGATATCACAGGCTGAAAAATACTGTGTGGAATTAAGCTGAGATCAAAATCAAAATTAAATATAGTACTGATTGACTGTCATCAGTAGTCCAATTGAATACCACTCGCATCAACCAGTAGTGTTTGTCAGGCTAGCCAGATTGAAGGGACCTACAAACCGAACGGCTCTGTTTTACTCGTTTGGAGATGACCTCATCATCAGTGTATACCCAACCAGTTTCATAAAAAGATTCGAACCAATTCAAACCAACCAACGTTTAGATCACTGCTATTCTGGCTAGCCGGAAAGCACTCTAAAGCAATCAGTAGTACATGGTTGTTTTATGCTGATGGCCGACCAACGGTGAGGTTGTCATGGCTACACACACTGTTAAACCATCCGAAACCAGAACAAAACAGCTGTTCAGGGTTCCTTATTTGTTTTATGACCAAATCTATGTTGAAATGGATTAAAACTGTTGAAAAAAATAAACCTAAATCTGAGAATCAATCAATTATCATTAGTATTTCCGTTATTGACAATTAAAATCTTATAAAAGTAGATAATTTATAAGGTAAAAACATGATTTCATTTCTTCTTTTTTTGTGGTTAATATGAACTTTTATTGAATACATTGAATACTTTGACATGATTTAAACAAGCACTGAATTCCCCGCTGATTAATCCTTAAGCTTTAGGTTTCAAATAAATTAGTCAAATTCAAGGTTGTTATTGTTAATAATCAATAGCAAATATAATGTCATTTTGGAAACCTTGAAAATCCGGAATGGCTGTTTTAATTTTTTACCTATAAACTTTTAGAAGATTTCAAGTTTGCCCGTGAATTGATGTCAGTTGGAGGACCATTGAAAAACCAGCATGGAGTACTAGACATCATTTTTGTCCTGGTAGATTGAGATTCATCAGCAGTCTGCACATAACACAGGGACTTCCGGTCACAAGGCAAGATCATACATAGACTATTGAGTCAGATCCCAGTGGCTGGATGGTGTACTGGGTTCAGAACCCTGTGGTGAGTGTATACTGACGATGAGTCTCAATCCCCTAGGACAAAACAGCTGTCCAGTACTCCATGCTGGTTTCCAGTGGTTCGCTAACTGACATAAGTCCATGGGAAAACCTGAAACAGACTAAATCCTTACAACCTAACGTCTAAAAAAAATAATTCAGTGATAGAATGCTCTCCAGGAATATTGAAGGCATTGGTTCGATTCCTGACTGTGGCGCACGCCCGAACACTGCTTAAACCAGTAATAATTTCGGAAGGCAGGAAAGAATGGGAATGAGGCTAGCAATCCCACCTCCGACACACGCTTTGAGCGTCGGTGGCACAGTGGTTAGGACTCTCGTCGACCATGCATATGGTCCGAGGTTCGAGCCCACGCCGACGCACAACTGATATCTATGGTCGGCCTGCAAAATTTGGGCTACCGATATACATGCTGAAAATTCCATACTTGTACCAAAAACACGGTGTGGAATCAAGCTGTAAACAAAAATAAATAAATAAATAAAAACAAAATCACCACCACTGACGCCTCACAGCTTGAAGCCTTGTACTCCACTCCAACAGCAAGTGAAAAAAAGAAAGAGAAGGATAAGAATTGGTGGCTCCATGTTCTGCCAACTAACCTCTCCTAGTTTACTAGCTCGCTAGTTTTTTAACCGGTCCCAAGTGCGGGTGAAGAGGGAGGGCTAGGAGTAGGGCTAGCGACCCCATCCCACAAAATCAGTCGAACTTCTAATAAAAACTTCAGCTTAAGAAAAATTTTAAAAATACAAACTTATTCTTCTCTGGAAATGAGAGGCGAAATGACACACAGTGGGATAGTGAAAGCCTTTGGGTCAGAAACTTGACAGACGTGTGTCACGAAAAGGATTTCCAACAGGTCACTGCAGACTTCTATCAACAGCTGTTGCTTTCACTGGCTGGCCGAAAAGAAACAAAAACAAGAAACTTTGGCTGGCTGGGAACAAACCACCCAGGAGCCGATTGTTTAACAAATATGTAAGAGAAGATGGGCATTAATTGGGCAAAAGATCAGGAGGCCGTTGAATGACAACACGCCATCCCCAGGCCATCAATCGAGTGTAATCAGAATGGGAAGTGACGAGTGGGTCGTCAGTGAGAGGTTGACATGAAGGAGACCGTGCGAGGAGGAGGAGGAGGAAGAAATGAGACATTATGGTTAGTCATGGACCCATCTGAAGAGGACGCCAGAAGATATAAGGAAGTGGAGATGTGTTGTTGAAGCCGTATTTTCCACTAGGAACCGAAGGGAATAATAATATAATTCTTTCTTGCATACATTTCTGCTCATTGTACTTCCTTTGAAACTTTTGTGTGCTATGTAGCGTGTGAGAATTTGAACTGTTGTACTTCTGTGCAGAGTTCTGTGTTGAAATTCCACCGTCTGTCAATCAGTCAGTACTCGAATACACTATTTCTGTAGAAATTGATTTTAAGAATTCGAAATTCCCATTGAACAAAAAATATTAATTATTATGCGCTGATTAGATTCTATTATATGACCTTCTTCAGGAATAGGTTTTTGATACACAAAAGACACACACATAAGAATTGTACTTTGTGACACACGGCGACCAAAGAAGTTTTGATTAAAACGAAGTACAACCATTTTATTGTGTGAATAAATCAGTTGGGTTTCTCAAAAGTCATCTGGCTGATTATAGGATTAGATCGTTCATTAATCGTTATATATGACCCGCCCCACACCCAGCAGTTTGAACTAAATTTTATCGGCTCTAAAAGTTGCTAAAAGAGATCTCATGATAAGAGGTGTCTACGAAAGTCGCTTCTAGATACAAATATGTAAGCACATCAATCGATTTTTAAATCATTATTACTGTTCCCTTGGGTTCCTAGTGGAACATAGGGCTTCGACAACACATCTCCACTTTGTTTTATTTCCTGCGATCCTCTTCAGCTGGGTCGACAATTGCCCAAACTCTCTCATTTCTTCCTCACACGATCTCTTCCATATATCAGCCTCCCACCGATGACCCGCCCGCCGCTTTCCAATTGAATTCCACTCGAGGGCCTGGCGGGCGAGGTCATTCGGCAGTTCCCTGAAATTATGCCCGATCATTCTCTATTTTCTCCTACATATATATGTTGAGCGATCGGCTTTTTCTAATTGGTTTGTTCCACTGCACAGTTTCTTGCTGCTGATTCTTTCTGGCCAGCCATTTGATCTTCACTATGGAACAAAGGCAACTGTTGATGAAAGTCTGCAACTACCTGTTGGAAATCCTTTTCGTGACACGCCAAGTTTCGACCCGTAGAGAAACACCGACTTGACATTGGGGGTGTTGAAAATGCGAAACTTGTTCCTTATGCTGAGTGTAGAAGACTCGCAAACTGGTTTCAGGTTGGTAAAGGCATACCTTTCCTATCGGATTCTGATTTTGACATCTTCATCCCTTCCACCTGTAGTTGAAACGATGCTTCCTAGATAAATGAAGGTTTTTTTTATAAATTCCTTCACGTTCCCATTGGAGCATAGGGCTTTAAGCAAGACCTTTGAAGTTTCGGTAGGAGTGGTGTTTATGTTTACGGTATGGGGGTCGCTAGCTAGCCTCATGCCCGACCTTCCCTCTTTACCAGTTTTACGACTGGCTTAGCGAGGTAAAGGAGTGGCGTCCATGGCCAGGGATTGAACCCGTGACCACATGTGTGGGCGGCGAGCATTCTACCGCCATGCCACCGATGCACTCAGTGAAGGAGGTAACACCTCCGTTAAATCTCTCTCAACCGAATTATATCATCCTATGTAAGATGAAATGTGCTTATATTAGTGTTGATAAAGTCTCTTCAACTGACATATACCTACCTCTCTTCTAGAGAGTTAAAAGGGCGAAAATTATCACGTGTTTGCAAGACACTAACCCTCTTTCTTTTTGAAATTACTTTAACGCTTCCTACCTAATATACAACATTAAAAAGCAAAAAAAAAAGAATTCAAGCAGAAAAACTCGTCTCACCTTAACATTTCAACTAATTCTGAGATACCAATCTCTTCACAGGCTAATTTAGCACCAGACAAAGCTTTCGTCAACAACTGAAGAGTGAGTGCAGCTTCTGATCGTAGATCAGCATTTTTTGTAGTTTTAAGAATGTGAATAACTGCCCGAACAAGCTAAAATATACCGAAAAATTTTAAAAAAGATACGTTACATTTCACTTAGACAGATAGTTAAAAGGATTTATTATAAGGTCGTAAGTTATACAGATTAGCTGCTGACATTCTATATTACAACTGGTTCCCATCGGCTGCACAACTCTAACATGAATTTAAAAGAAATTGGAATAAAACCCAATTGAGGTTTTGAATGAAGCGAAGGGATATTTATATATCCGGTCGGTGACTACTTCCCGATTGCCCATGATGGCTACGGGAGTTGATTTCTCTTTGAATTACTTGAAACGAAAAGAGAGTTAGAATCAACTGATCGCAGAGCCCACAGAACATGTACTTGAGGCTGGTCACATATAGCCTGTTGCGAATGGTTTTTGGAGCAGTGTTCAGACTAATATCTTACCCCTGGCAATGGACCACCACAAGATGTGTTGGGTTGTATAGTGTTTGGTACCAACCCCTTCCACTCCCTCAGGTAGAGTGAGGCCATACAACCAACTATTATCACTGTTCCCAACCAATAGTAGGGTTAGACAGAGTTGCCCGATCTCTCCATTCCTCTTTAACTTTGCCATCGATAACACTCTGGAGTCAGCTCTGAAGAACGTGCGTAATGGCGGTAAAGATCCACTCCCTGACCTTTCAATCTCGAGTATGCAGACGACATCGTCTTATACTGTGCGATCGCATGCAGACTGTCCAAATCGCACTTAATCAGTTAGCGATAAGTGTCTGTAAGTATGGTATATGCTTCGCACCGTCTAGGTGCAAAGTACTGTTATAAGATTGGCAGGAGCCTGTATCTGCATTCAATCTTGCAAGTGAGCCACTTGAAGTTGTTGATAAGCTTGTGTACCTGGGTAATTGTGTGAATGCTGGCGGAGGGATGAAGAATGAGATTTCCAACCTCATCATGAAAGCAAGGATGAAATAAGTCAACTCCAACCACCTCAGGCAGATTCGTGACGTTAGCATGGCTGTCAAAGGCTGGATATACAATACTTCGGTGCGGGATGTCTTGCTCTACGCCTCTGAAACCTGGCCTCTCCGAGCAAAGGATGTGCGGCGACGACTCTACGTATTCAATCACCGCTGTCTCCGCAAGATTGCTTGCGTTCGATGGCATCATCGCGCAATTAATTCTGAAGTCCAGCAGTGTGTGTTTGCACACAGCGGAGATCACCGTTCGTGAGCTGCGAATGTCATCCCAGAGGCTTCCGTACAGGTCTCTATTCGCTAGCCCTGGGGAAGGAATGGAAAAAGTAAGCGAAGTGGTGGTCAGCCCATGACGTGGCGTCGTGGGAAGAAGGAAATTTGTGATAGGTTAGCGTCGTTTAGTGCGTCATGACTCCCTGGTAGAGGTCCGAGAGATAGTTCAAATCGGTGGCTTGAAATGTTATCAGATATGGCCAAGAATCCTAATCATTGGCGAACGTGTTGCAATTTCCTTTTTTCTTCCCTTTTCGACGATAATTGTTGAATGCTGTTTGGAGTTGTCAAGTGTGACTGTTTTCCTTCCAGATGAAGTTCTTCAACCGTTCTCTATTTATATTTTGTTACTTTTAATCTATGTTGTTTTATTATTGTGTGGTGCATCTTCTTGGCGCCATATTGTACCAATTTTTTGTGTTTAAATAAATAAATACTCCGTGTCTTCAGAGCGCAGAGGCAGTGTAGCTGCCATGCACTGATCATCCGACGGAAACACTTTTTATCACCAAAACAGACACTGAAAATAGTGTAAGCGAATTACATATTACGTTATGGTAACTGCTTTTATTCTAAATGCTATCCTAACTACCCTTCTTGCGTGGTAGGACCTACGGGAACATTAGCTCCAGTTAATAGAGTTCATTGGGTCATTGTGATATGCAAGTCCTACTACCACGTCAAGCTAGCAGGTATCCGTTCATACTTAGCACATTTAATGACAATAAACTATGGGAAATGAAGTAAAACTCACTTATCGATTAAAAATTTTATTATATTCTTTAAACAAATATTAAACAAACAAGCGATTACTCCATAGAACCACTCAACCACCTACCAGCGATCTTGTATCAGTACCGAAAGAATCTCAAAAGCTGTTACTTGAAGCTGCATATCGTCAAATCAAAGTAGGATCCTTGCACACTGGAGACTTCCCAAAATGTCTCATGGGAACAAGATCCCAACCATCATCCTCGTACCCACTAGCATTAACACGGTATCGCCATATACAGACAACCGTGGATATCAGTTCAGCCGGGACAACTAACGTTGAAATATTAGACAGAGGAAACAGTAAGAATGCTGGAAAATTTTTAGAAGCCTGGTATTCCGGTAAATCATCAGTCAATGGACACATTGAATTAGACAAAATTTACTAGTCGATAAGAAGGAAATCTCATACACAAAAGGTCAGTCTTGAGGTCAAGGAAACAATCAGCACCAATACCAATACAAGTAGCCCAGAGGGTGTGAAAACACACAGAAACAACCAATCACGTCCGATGTCACCAGGAGAGATGATTAATAAACTCGTGGAGAAATCTAAAAGCTCACTCCATCGAATTGAAGTATGCGCTGAAGATGTTGCCCACTAGGGCGATGAAAGCCTTGCGAGTAACCCTTTCAGCTCAGAGAACACGATTACATCGAAATAATCCACCTGAGCTGCAAATCTTCCCCCATCATATCTATGAACACTGTATCTCACATGGCAGGCTTATCACCCTTACCCTTACAATAAACCATGTTGGGTGTACCACATTATCAACAACCACACCCAAGCCATTGCTATTCCCAATAAATTCACCCAATATCACGATGTTGGTTTATCCGGAGCCCCCGCCAGATATTTGCTTGAAGCCAAAGAAGCTTTCATTTGTAATAGTCAGGCGTGTTGAATAGCCAAACACGTGTGTTGTCTATGCATGCGGTGAGACTTAGCTCAGAGCCAGAAAGCCAAGCCTTACTCCAGAGGATGTAACGTGCAGGCGCTCACCAATGTTATTCATCTCTATTCTGAGTAGTAAATACCCCTTGAATTGGGTCATAGTTACTACCGCCACACACGTGACCACTAGCTAATATCATCGCTGGCGAGTATTTGTACTCACACTCAACTTGGCATAATACCCCACTGGTTACGACTTCCCACTAGAACCTAGCTGAATAGAGCTAGTCATCCTAGTTATCACCAGAATAATATTTAAGTGCTGGTTTGATTGACTAACTGACAGGATTCAACATAGAACTTTGCTCCGATGTGCAACAGTTTGAGTCGCCTCACTCCCTCCATATAACACACAAAGCAAGAGAAGAAAGTAAAAAGAAATGCAAAATAGAGGCGGCAAACAGAGATATGAGGCAAAAAGAATAGTAATATCGATGAACAATATAGTTTTATTGGATATTATGTCTGCGCCAGCCATCGTCAAGAATGATTTTGAGCCATATCACCAGTGTATACTTTTTGTAAGTATAAATACGACTGTACAACCTCTGAAGATGATTTCGTCGATGAAGAAAATTTTCTTCGCTGAATCTGTCTTTTATTTTCTTCAACACTAAAACAGATGAGCTTTGAGATAAAACACTATACTCATGGAAAATTCCCAACGTAACACATATAGAAAATTGCATGGAGGATTTAATCATGAGCTGACATCAGTTAGAGAACCACTGGAAAACCTGGGAGTACTGGACAGCCGTTTCGTCCTAGTTTGGGACTCCTCAGCAGTACGCACCCACCGGGATTCGAACCCAGGACCTTCTGGTTACGAGGCGAGCTCGTAGACCATTGAGCCACTGGGACCCGATCCAATGGTCCTTGAATTCTAACTTCTGCCAGTTCACGACATAGCGCGACCACTTCGCAATGTCTTCTTCGATGAGTTACTGCCTCATCTTCGACCTGCTGTACCCTACTGGTCACGGACCTTCTGGTTACGAGGCGAGCTCGTAGACCATTGAGCCACTGGGACCCGATCCAATGGTCCTTGAATTCTAACTTCTGCCAGTTCACGACATAGCGCGACCACTTCGCAATGTCTTCTTCGATGAGTTACTGCCTCATCTTCGACCTGCTGTACCCTACTGGTCACGGCTTCCCACTAGAACCCCAGGTTAACTGCCTGAATAGGGCCAGTCACTAGTGAGCATCAAACAAAATCCCTACAAAAATCAATACTTGAAAAACATATAGAAAATCAAAACAAGTGATTCAGCGAAGAGACTCTTTTCAACGAATTTATCATCAAGCTGTACAGTCGTATATATATGGTTTTTAAGAAGTTATATCCGATGGGGGAAATAGAATCTTAGGTGTAAATGCATAAAATAATAATAATATGAAGTTCAATTAAAACTAAAATGTTTGTGATTATAATCGTAGTTAAATGTCAAGTGGCAAAGCAAATTAATGTCATATATTGAATAATTCATAGGATGGACAGAACTTGAAAAAGGGTGTGCAATTATAGGATTAGTAGACAAATCGAATAAAACAAAAATGTTACGTAATATTGTGTGAAATTTGATAGCATAGAATTTAACGTTATAAAAAAGAATTGATTTAGAATGACAAGTAGAACAAGTGAAATAATACCGGGGACAGTTCAGAGTGACCTAATAAGGAAGAGTATACAAATTGAATAGACAAAATGAAAAAATGAAAAATTGGTAGAGCTAAAATGTGATTGGGTATTACCACATTTTAGCATAGAGAGATTAAGACCATGAAAGTTGGAGGGGTTGAACGAACTTTTTCTCTACACAGAGATCTGGCTTTTCTGTTTCGATAGCCAAAGCTTCAGCAATACAGATGAGTCAGGTACGTAGGGATTTAGGTAGATTGCTCTTTGCCTTGTAGATGACTTTAAAGGCGGAGGCTATAGAGATAGGGTGATCATTTTCGACCAGATGTTCTATGATCGCGCTTCTTATTGCTCCACTTTCAGCTTTTCGTAGCCATGCAGGATAGTGTTCTTGCACCCTCTTGGACAAAATTCGAGTCGAACGACCGATATACTTAGCTCCACAAGAGCAGGTGAATTGATAAACGCTCATAGAGTTGGTCAACAGTGAGATCTTGTCCTTCAGGTTATTGAACAATAATGGTCTGCTATTAAAGGCTATTCTCAGAGATGCAGCAGGGAATTTTCTTTTCAGGGACTGTGTTATCCTTCGTTTCATGATATCGGAAGCTAAGTCCCCTTTGAATTCTAAGCTCATGTAAAGTATTTTCTTGGGAGCGGTTGATAAGTCACGTTTTGTAGGCTTTGAATGTATATTCTTATCTATAAAACGTAGTGGAAATCCATTTTCCATTAGGATTTTCCTCAAAATGTATAACTCATCTTTCACAGTATCAGTGCTACATATGGGCCGAATACGAGTGGCAAGCGACCAGACCAAGTTTCGCTTCCTACCAATGGGTACCCAGCTGTAGAAATTTGTCAGTTGACCATTCCATAACAGCTTACGATAAATCGATCTCCTCAGAGTTCCATCAGTCCTTCTTGATAAGTTCACATCGAGGAAATGAATGCTAGACTCGTTCTCCATTTCGAGTGTGAATTTTATCGCAGGATGGCACTCATTAAATGCATTTAATATATTATTCAGGTTATAATCATACATACTACACATCATACATACATATATATATGTAAACAAGATGGCAAACCTGAGAGCAATTAACCAATCCACAACGTGCAGCTTGAAAACGTGCCAGTTTATGAATCTGTGAGACCACAGCAAGTGTATCATTCAATGAAGTATTCGGCTGAAGTTGTTCAGCTAATTTTGGTGCATTTAAAGCAGCATATTCAGCATCATTCTGTAAGAAAATGGCGTATAATATATATACATGTAAGAAGAATACAAAATGCGAATATTGATGAAATTTAAGATCAAAGAGAACAGAATCGAACTACATGTGGAATAAACATGACCAGGTATGAAAACCATTATGACTATTGTATTCATACTTATCATGATACTTGCTAAGAACTAATGGCTACAGACAAGTCTTTAACAATCTGACTATCGGACTGACTGGTTTGAGCATAGAAATTTGCATAGATGTTTGCAACAGTTCGACTTGACACACTCCATTTCTTTGTAGCACACAAATCAAGACAAGAGAGCCGACAGAGACAATAATTAGAAGTGTGAGGGAAAACGAATAGTATTAGTATGGAAGAATAACAGAATTTTACTGCATATTATAAATCATGATAATTGAATGTATATGAGGCATCATTGACAATGGAGATTTTGAGTCATATCACCGATAATTGTCTCCAGCTTTCATTGGTTTTTACCAGCCAGTCAGAAAGTCTACACTTTCCTACCTGGCTGGTTAACTGACTTAAACTAACTGTTGTGGATTTTATTGACTGATGAAGTTATGTTTTCGTCTGACCTCCAACCACTAGCTCTTTTCCGACAACCTGATCCATCCTATGTTAGCTAACATTGACAGTTGTCAAGGGTAGCGATCGATGGTTAGGCATGTATGAGTAAGACATGTCATAACCATCATTCTCAGTCGGTGTAGCTTCACAACCTCGTCAGTTTATTTCGCCTCCCACCTACATACCCCCTCGACGGATGCCTAACCAACTCAATATTACTCACCCTATTATACCACCACCACCTAACACGGGATGTAGATAGGACGCACACACCTGTGATCAAAGACAGCTAGCTAGGCAAGCTTTCATGCCTTCCACTTTCAATGGGCGTCTTACTCACAACCATAAAGAAGGAGGACGGAGCGAACTGCTGCTCTTCAGCACACAAGTTCTTTGATCGATAGCCAGCCAGTCACCCGGATATCACATCTACTAAGCCAGAGATGGTGTGAATTGTTGGGAAATGCCAAACGAGCCTTCTGTATTCGTACTGAGATTTCATCGTCAGCGATCAACCCATTGATGGGGCTGGCTGGTGCAACTTCCCAAATAATTAAATTGGTCAACACGCCTAATTACCACGTCACTTCCTATGCGAGGAGTTAATGTAGTCCAGTTCTGCATCCAGCATCATCTCACATTCGATAAAGGGAGTGAATCGCATACCAAACATTCGAGGATTGCTGCTCAGCTCAAGGTATTCAGAAGACCCTGGTCTATTTTGTCAGAGTTTTCACCTAGGAGACAGGACTATATCATCGGCGTGCATATTATAAGTCAATGAGACTATTATTCCCTGGTGGTAACAGGCCGATCCCTGGAGTTGCTGAAGTCAATTAGGGTTAAGTCCATTAATACATTTATGATGAAACTAAGCAGAAATGGGGAAATCCCTAACAATCATGACTTAAAAGTGTATTTTCGTGCAGCAGACACTTTACGCTCCTTATCACTGGTCTGTCTGTCTGTTTTCGACATAGAACTTTGCACAAATGTGCGGAAGTTCAAGTCGCCACATTCCGTGTAGCACGCGAAGCAAGAGAAGAAAGTACAAGAAAAGCATAATAGAAACAGTGAGCAGAGCTGGTGAAGGTTAAGAATAAAAAATAGAAGACAGTCAACAGAACTGTGTATATCAGATCAACTGCGGCGACTGTGATGCTTTATACATGTAGGAGAAACTGCCAGACAGGTAAATGTAAGAGCGAAGGATCATAAATAATGTCTGAAGGTGGTTCCAAAGACATCTACATATTTGAAGAAGCTAGAAAACATAACGGCAATTACACTACACTCGATAGAAACAGGACACAAGATCGAACTTGATAGGACCAAGGCTCTACAAAAAGGTTTTGGTTCGTATAAAGAAAGACTGACTGTAGAAGCCTTACATATATGGGTGAATCCCAAAATCTTGAAAAGGTGTGATGTTGGCTGATGTATCGCAAGTCCTAATTAATAAATAAAAAATGGATATGTATCATAGTTAATCTGAATTCCCCGATTAGCTATATCCTCTTATGGATAGGCTAACAAATGATTTACCATTGTTCCCTTATGCAAACACACCATTGTATACCGTATATACATAGACAAATGGATTTGAAAAATTTCTGTGACAATGAACTTTAGTTGAACGTAATCATCACTAAAAATCTGGTGCGAAAGTACAGCACACTGTTTAGTGTTTAACAAAAGTAGACTAATAACAGTAAGTCTGTGGTCAAATTTTGATCACAGTTCATGAAATTATATTCATCGGTTACAGGACGCTGGAAAACCAGGAAGTGCTGGACAGCTATTCCATCCGATTTTGGTAGTCATCAGCAGT